AATAGTTAATACCTACCACGTGTGAGGCAAGGTACTAGATGTGAAGCAAAGTGTGAGATGCTGGATATTTTATAGTAAATAAAAGAGACAACATAATGGAGTCTGGTACAGCCTGTCCAATAGAAAGATAAGGCAGGCCACAGATGTCATTATAGCTTTTCTAGTCTATAGCTTTTTACATCTTTTAAAAGTAAAAAGGAGAGGGTGAAATTAATTTTAGTAACATTTTATGGAACCCAATACAGCAAAAATAGCATCACATCAACATGTAATTAATACTCAAAAATTATTGATGAGATAGTTTTATATTCTTCATGTTAAATCTTTGAAATCTCATGTGTGTTTTACACTCAGACACATCTCAGTTTGGACCAGTTACATCACAAGTGCTCAGTAGCCCCACGTGGCTTGTGCCCATCTTATTGGAGAGTGCAGAGTAGTAGGAAACAAAGCACTGAACGAGCAAGAAAATAAGCACCTAACAACAACTTGCAAATGACTCTCTGAAAGCAAAGACATGTATCTCTGAAAGCAAAGACGAGAGCTCCCATGGGGGACTGGTGGAGACCAAGGCCTAAATCACATCATCTGAACTGAAGGTTTTTTCCTCAGTTCTGCATAACACAGAAAGACTGTCCTTTGTTCTCCTATCTAAGTGTATGGTTTGGGGTTTTTAAATTATGTATAATTATTAAATTATTAATAGTGTCACAGTTACTACTTTTTAATGATGTACAAGATGATGCCCATATTGCAGGAACCATAGTTCAGGAACTATAACCACTTAGAGATAATCAGGTGCTTTACTTACAACCCTATCATTGTTAACAGATTTATTGAAAATCAATTTCAACTTTATTAACATAATTTATGTCATAAAATGCAGTCATTTAAATGCCTAGTTCGATAAGTTTTGACAAATAAATAAATACGCTCATGTCACCATCACTCCAATCAAGGGCATCTTATCAGCCTGGAAAATGTCCTTGGATCCATCTGAAGAGTCAGTCCAGGACCCCACCCCAACCCCACTCTGCGCAACCACTGCTTGGATTTCTATCGCTATAGATGAGTTTTGCCTCAGCTTTTTAAACAAATATTCATCCCAGCTTCTGGACAGAAAGGACTCTGCTACCAATAATAATAATACAACAATAACAACAATAGATTCTGTCAGCATGTCCATGGTACAGATCAGGAAAGTGAGGCTCTACATTAAATAACTTGCTCCAAGTTAGCAATCTGTACGCACGCAGGGGCTAGCACAAATCCTAAGCAGGACACATCCCCATCCACATGTGTGGCTTGGAATGGATATCACAGTGCTCATTGGAAGTGCTCACACACACTTTGCAACATAACTTCCAGGGAGTCACAGGACCCCACATGCCCACCCTTGGGTGCTGCTCCAGGAGCCTCCACACCCATTGTCATTTCTCGCTTCCGAATCCAGGTGGAGGATTTGATTGTGAAATATCAGAAAAAGAAGAGGACAGTGGCTGGGATCATCGTGGAGCCCATCCAGTCTGAGGGGGGAGACAACCACGCATCTGACGATTTCTTCCGGAAGCTGAGAGACATCTCCAGGAAGGTCAGTGCACCGGCCAAGGCTGGATGGGGCCACAGGCCATTTCCAGCTGGTTTCCCAAAACAAAGGGTTAGTTTTGGGATCCTTGTAAACTTTCAGATGTTCAGAGGCTGCCTATTGGCCTCACGGGGAGAGGAGAGGAACGGGGACAGGACATAGAATTCTTCCCTGAAATCTTATTGCAAAACCAGCCTCCATTCAGCCTGCAGCCTTTGTCAGTGGCTTTTTATAATCCAGATATTCCTGGGAAGGCCTCAGCCTCCACCCCTTCCTTTCTAGAGACCCCCCTCACCTTTCAGCCCAGTGTGGCCCACATGCAGCAGAGGCAAAGTGAACAGACTTTTATGTTAATACCGTGTTTACCTTAATGTCTTACATGTACAAATGGTACATCCAACCAGCAAGTTCACAGATGAAGGTTATACGACATGGCTTGACTTAAACACAAACGCTAAGTAAAGGACAGTTCTGGTGATGAGCAGAACTGCCAAACGTGACAGCAGATGTTTGGGAGACAGGGCCAGGACTCACTGCGGGGCCACGATTCCTCCGGAGTAGGTCAGCTTGCTCAGGGACTGAAGCCAAGCGGAATGCTGCCGTGCTTTGCATCAGGGCCTGTTCGACATTCTGGTTTGGCTCTGGCTCGGCAGCTGGAGGAAGTGTTCGGACACAGCTCTGGTGGCACTGCCTGCTTAAGCATTTGTTTAATTTTGCCCCAAAACAAGGACTTAGCTTGCAGTTTAGAAAGCACGGACTCTGGCTGGATGACTGGATGGGCCATCCCTCCTCTCCCTCCAGCATGGCTGTGCCTTCCTGGTGGATGAGGTCCAGACAGGAGGGGGCTGCACTGGCAAGTTCTGGGCCCACGAGCACTGGGGCCTGGATGACCCTGCAGATGGAATCTTCATCCTGCAGACGACCTTCAGGAAGAAGATGATGACCGGGGGCTTCTTCCACAAGGAGGAGTTCGGGACCAATGCTGTGAGTGCCAACTCCACCCTTCTCTCCTTTCCAGGACAGGGGAGGCAGATAGGTGAAGCAGCGTTGCTTCCTCCAAACTGCGCCTTTCTCACAAACCAGGCACTGAGTGGACTTAATGTGTCACCAAAGTTTTCTAAGGCCCAATTCTTATCGATTTATTTAGCCAGTGATTACAATCACTCCTGTTCTCTGCAGGGCTGACTTCATATCAGTCTGTTGTCAGCCTTCTAATTGTTCTGTGTGTTAATAACTGCTGCTGGAAACTGGGCGCTTCCTCTGTGCCTGGCCCAGTTCTAAGTACTCTTCATGTACTTTTAATCTTTACAACAATCTAACCAGGTGGTTGTTATTTTTCTCTCCCATGTCATTAATGAGGAATCCGGCAGAGATTGGTTAAGTAAGTTGGCCAAGATCACATAGCCCATTAACTGATAAGCTAGGATTCAAACCCAGAGAGCCCTGCTCTCAGCTAGTACGCTGTACTACCACGTGTAATATGGATTCTCATACACATACACACGCAGTTACCAGGGACTTAGGATCCTTCCTTCCACCATTCCTGAATGTAGTTTCCATCCTTGAGGATGCTTCATGTCCCAAAATGGCTACTAGAGCTCCAACCTTCACATCCCCATTCTTGGCAGTAAGAAGGAAAAAGGAGGGAAGCACAAAGTGACACTCTCCTTATCCTTTAGTGGCTTTCCCAGAGATCCCACAACTCTTCTATTTCTAACACTGTCACTCAGTTCTGGTCACATGGCCACTCCTAGCTGCAAGAGAAGCTGGGAAGTATGTTTTAGTTGACTGCACTGACACCCTGAATAATTCATGGAAGAATAAATTGGGTGGTCTTTGAGGGCCAGACTGCCATCAATCCACTCCTGAGTCCACCACCTATGCGCTATATTTTTTTTCTGGAAGAATCGCTTAACCTCTCAGAACCTCAGCTTCCTCCTCTATAAAACGATTAGAGTTAAGAGCCAAGTGTCTTCATTTCCCCAGGACAGAGGGGTTTCCCGGCACACGAGGAACCAGTCTCTGTGATAGTCATACTAATAATCAAACCTCCTACAGGACTGCTGTTATGGAGAGAATTCAATGAGATAATCCTCCTCAGCCCTTAGTAGATGCTCATTGGGTTAGTTTCTCTCTTAACTGGGGGACAAGGTGTGCCTCGGGGGAGTGGGCCCCTGAAGGGTGTGCCCATGTGTAAACCTTTCCAACACCCTGTGCCTTGTTCCAGCCGTACCGGATCTTTAACTCCTGGCTGGGAGACCCATCCAAGAACCTGCTGCTGGCCGGGGTCATCAATGTCATCAAGCGAGAGGACCTGCTGAGTAACGCAGACCATGCCGGGAAGGCCCTACTCACGGGGCTGCTGGATCTCCAGGTACCCACCCAGCCCGGTCACACCTCAGCTCTCTCAGGACCCCACCCATAGCTCCCACGGTCCCCAGGGCAGCATCTGAGCCCGTCAGCATGGCAGCGCACCTGCTCCTCCAGCGGGGGCAGAGGCAGGAGCTCCAGGGACCACCCCCTGCCCCCAGGCAGGGGTGCCAGGTTTAGCAAATGACAACACAGGGCGCCAGTTTAATTTTAAAAACAAGCGACTTCTTTGTTTTAGCATAAAAGTATACCCCAGGCAATCTTTGCACATACTTACACTAAAAAGTTTAAGTTGTTTATCTGAAATCAAATTTAACTGGGCACCCTATGTTTTATCTGGCAACCCTAACTCAAAACAATTTGAACTTAGGAAGATATGATTATTTTCATTTTCTACATGTGAAAAGGCAGTTTGGGAAGGTGAGCAGCAGCAAAGGAGCCAGATTTTAAACCCAGATATGCCTGATTGCAAACTAGTGCGCCTATAAAGACAACATAGACCTTCTGGGTAAAATTTTTTTTCTTTTCTTTTTTTTAAATTATATTTTACTGATTATGCTATTACAGTTGTCCTGAATATTCCCCTTTTACCCTCCTTCACCCAGTACGCCTACTCCCTCAGTTAATCCCCCTACTGTTGTTCATGTTCATGGGTCATGCGCATAAGTTCTTTGGCTACTCCATTTCCTATACTGTACTTTACACCCCCATGGCTATTCTGTGACTACCTATTTGTACTTCTTTATTCTCTCATGTCTCTACCTATTCCCCCACAACCTCCTACCGTGTGGTAACTATCAAAACAATCCACATCCATGATTTTGTCTCTGTTCTTGTTTGCTTACTTTGTTTTTTGGATTCTATTGTTGTTAGGTATGTATTTTTTGCCATTTTATTGTTCATAGATTTTCTCTTCTTTTTCTTAAATAAGTCCTTTTAACATTTCATGTAATAATGGTTTGGTGATGATAAACTCCTTTAGTCTTTTCTTGTCTGGGAAGCTCTCCACCTGCCCTTTGATTCTAAATGATAATTTTGATGGGTAAAGAAATCTTGGCTGTATGTCCCTGCTTTTCATGACTTTGAATATTTCATGGCTGCAAATTTCTTTTGAGAAATGAGCTGATAGTCTTATGGGAACTCCCATGTAAGTAACTACTTTATTCTGGCTGCTTTTAAGACTCTGTCTTTATCTTTTTAACCTTTTGCATTTTAATTATTATGTGCCTTGGAGTGGGCTTCTTTGCATCAATTTCACAAAGCACATCCCATCCATCTTGGAACTCACAATGCTTCCTGGACTTGCATGTCTATTTCCTTCTCCAAATTAGGGAAGTTTTCTTTCATTATTTTTTCTTCAAATACAGCTCCAATTTCCTGGTATTTCTCTTCTTCTGACACCCCTACAATCAGAATGTTGGACCCCTTGAAGTTGTCCCAGAGGTTGCTTATACTTCCCTCATTTTTTTTGGATTCTTCTTTTTTCTTGTTCCAATTGTTTTTTGCTTCCTTATTTTCCAAATCATTTATCTGATTCTCGGCTTCATCCACTCTACTGTTGTTTCCCTGTTGTTGTACTGTTGTAAATTGTTCTTTTTTTCAAGGTGTGAATGCTTTTTTCCTGACTGGATCTTTTTTATGCTGCTGAGGTCCTGAGTCCTTTGAGCATCCTTATAACCAGGGTTTTGAACTCTGCATCTGACAGATTACTGATCTCCATTTCATTTAGCTCTTTCTGGAGTTATGCTCTATTCTTTCATTTGGGCCTTGTTTCTTTGTCTCCTAATGTTGGCAGCCTCCCTGTTTTTGTTTCTACGTATTAGGTAGAGCTGCTTTGACTCCATGTCTTGGTAGTGTGGCCTAGGGTAGTAGGTATTCTGTAGTGTCCAGTGACACAGCCTCCCTTATCACCCAAGATGAATACTCAAGACACACCTTTTGTATGAGCTGAGTACACCCTCCTCTAATAGTTGAGCTTTGGTTGCTATGGGCACATCAAGGGGAGGAATATACCCAGGCGAGTCAGCTGCAAGGATTGGCTGTGACCACTTACCACTAACCTCTGCCCTCATGGAGGATCAGCTGTGCAGTGGCAAGGGTCGTGGTGCTCTGACATGGTCTGTAGCTGTCCACTAGGTGCACTGGCCCTGGGGTTTCCCAGGTGGTGCAGGCCAAGGTCAGCCCCCTCTTGTGTTTTGCCCGGGACCACCCTGCGTGAATTGCAAAGCAATCTGAAATAGCTACTACTCGTGGTGGGCTTGGAAATTCCCAGGTGAAGCCAAGCTGTGAATCTAGGCTCACTGCTGTTAGTGCCAGGCACAGGGCTCACTGAGGCCAGCTGTTGCTTATTTGATAGGATTTAGGAGCCAGAACCAACCATTCTTATGGAAAAGCAGATGGGTGGGCCCATTAATTGGGATGGGCAGAGACTCTGCGGATCTCCAAATTGGGTCATTCAGTGTTAGCCAGGTTGATGGAGTCTCAGATGTGGCACCAGCTTACTGACTGTGGGGGTAGAGTTTAGCAAAGGGACAATGGCCTCTGCTAGCATTGATTGCAGACTCTTCAGTCTCTCCCAGTATGCCACTGGTACTTTTCAAGCTGCTACCACAGTACTGAAGCACAGAAGGAGTCTGAGCAGGTACAATTGTGTGTGGATTCTTTAAGGGCAACTGCTTGGGGCTCAAGTGGTTTCTTCCACCGATTCAATCCCCGCTTGTTTTCACAGCCTCAAGTTGTGGGGACTTATCTTCCTGGCACTGGAATCCTGGGTTGGGGGCCCAGTGTAGGTCTGGGACTCCTTGCTCTTGATATATCCCTCCCAAATTTTTATTCAGTACATGCGGGTGTGAGATGAGCCCATTCTGCATCTGCGCCCCTCCTACCAGTCTGGGTAGACATAGTTTCTTTAATTCCATAGTCATCAGACTTCCTTTCAGCTCAATTCCTTACAGTTGTGAGTGACGGTTGTTCTATAATTTAGCTGTAATTTTGATGTGGTTGTGTGAACGAGCGAGCAATGTCTACTTATGCGACCATCTTGACCAGAAGTCCTCTTTTTCTTTTCTTGCAGTGGATTTGCATTTCAATCGAGGTTGGGAAGAAACAAGCACTAGAAAAAGCCTTGCAATGGGTCAGGCCCTTCCTTCCTGCTGGGGTGCTCCATCACCATCCTCCAGTGGGGCAGTTGAAATGACTGGTGTCCTTTATTCCCCTGGTCGATGTTTGGGCCCTGCTTACAGATGTTGATGCAGCCAGGGCCCAGCTTGGTGTGGATCTGGTTGTTCTGGGCTGTCACAAACATGGCTGCTCCCTGTCCTGATCTGAAGACAGTGTGTCCCAAAGAGGTGTCCACTGATAGTCCTTGGTACCAAATCAGCTGCCAACAAGAACCCTCAATTTGTAGTGAAGTGAAAAAGGAAACTTCATTCAGTGCAAAATATCTCAATTGTGACACAGCATGGCTGTGAGGTAGCCCTGGGCCCAGGCCCCTTTCCAGCCAGACAGCTCTTCTCTGCTTGCTCTGTTCAGCCTACGATCATAGAGGGAAAGTGCACTCCCAGAGCCAGAGAGAAGCTGATTTATAGAGACAGAAGACCCCACCCCTGGTTCCTGACTGGTCTATCCTAGTGCGAATGAGGACTCCAAACCCTCACAGTTTGGTTGGTCCAAATGCACTGTCCTGATTGGTCAGAATCGAGCCACGCTGGTTGGTCAAATCTATGCAGCTCTGATTGGATGGGGAAAGCCTCAATCCCATTGGTTGAAACAGGATTCCAGAAACTTCTTTGTAAAGGCTGGCTTAGATGGCAGAAACAGAGTCCCAGCAGGCAATTCAGTACACAGGCAGGTAGTTCCGTCCAGGTTTTTGTGTGAGAGGCCCGTGTAGAAATGGCTGCTAGGCTCTGGTTCTGTTAATTTCTTTGTTTGTTTGGTTTTTCGTTTTTTATTGGAGTTAACTTAGCCACCAGGAGCCCTTCTTAGTAGGTGTCTTTTTTCTCAGGGTGCACAGTAGGTTCCATATGCAGGATGGTGCTACGAAACAGGCTTCCATAGAAACATCCTAGAGTCTCTTAAGATGGACATCTTGCTTTTAGGAGGCTAAGCTGGCTCATTTGAAGAAATTAGAGCAGTTAGGCATCCTTATCAGGGCCTTACAAAGCTATAGGCAAAAGGAGGTAAGACTACAGGAATGCCCTAAAACAATGAACTAGACAAATGGGTGAAACAAAAGCATGCGTGCAGATATAAAGGCCTAGAGGCAACATTCAAAGCCATTCAGTGAGGAGCAAATGTGGATTTCCTCTCCCGCATTAATTAATCAGTTACTGTGTGTGTCACAAGGGCCACAAAGCAGTGCCCACATCGATGAGGCCTTGTTCCTGGCCTCCACACTCTGATGTGAGACAGGAGTGTGCTCATATCACTGGTTCCCAGCCGATTAGCGAGTGTAAGGATGAATAGAGTGAGTGCTGGAGTAACTTTGGTGCCTTGTTTCGTCGCCTGTGGAGACGAAAATGGGTCCCACAATAGTGGTGTGGAGGTTCAAAATCACATCTAGGTGCCTAGCAGAGTTCCTAGCATATCTTTGGGGCCTTTGTTATCACCCCAGCTTCTACCAAGGGGCTGTAACAAAATGACGCTTGCCCCCATCTCTGCCCCCAGTACCCGAAATACTTTAGGTTATCCAAGCCCCATTTGCTGTCCTTCACGTGGACGATGGAGAGTGGGGAGGAACCGAGATCCTTTACCCTGGGAGACAGTATTTGCTTCCTGGAGCCGCTGTAACAAATTACTACAAACTGGGTGGCTTAAGATGAGAATTTGTCTTCATCATTCTGGAAGCCAGAAGTCTGAAGTCAAGAAAGCAGCAGCACTGATACTTTCCGGAGGCTCTGAGAGAGAATCCATCCCAGGCCAGTCCACTCCCTTCTCATGGTCAGTGGGCAGTCCCTGGTGTTTGTTGGCTCATAGCTGCTTTCCTGTCATCACCTCTGCTTCTGTTCTCACATGGAGTTCTCCCCTCTCTGTATGTGTCTGTGACCAAATTTCCCTTTTCTTATAAGGATATCAATTGCTGGATTTAGGGCCCACCCTAACTCCAGTATAACCTCATCTTAACCTAATTACATCAGCAAAGACCCTATTTTCAAACAAGGTCATATTCACAAGTTCTAAGTCAAGACAGATTTGAAGAGGGGGCATTCATTATTCATCCCATTACAACTCCCAACCTCAGAGCCTTGAGTATGAGCCTTTTTTTCTTAGAAAAATCAATCACCACTTTTCTAGAATTTCTAGTAAATAAAAATGGCTGACTTCTGTTGCGTGCCTACCAAATGCCAGGCCTTGGGCTTAGGACCTGGTCTCACTTAATTCTTACCAAAGCACATTGAGATCAACAGCATTTATAGCCTTCAGTTTATGGAAGAGGAAACTGAGACACAGGCCACTTCAATGACTTGCCCAAAGTTGTATGGTGAGAAAGGGGCCCACGTTTTGAAGCCACAACTGAGTGTCTCTAGAGCCAGAGCTCTGAACTCCACAGTGGTCCTGCCAGTCCATGCAGAGGCCTGAAGGCCAGATCTTGGGGGTCTTCTGAGAAACCCGAACCACTGAATTGGTTGGTACATAGGTAACAGACTTTGATGCCAGCCTTGTTTCCCCCATTGCAGACCTGGTACCCTCAGTTCATCAGCAGAGTAAGAGGACGAGGCACCTTCTGCTCCTTTGACACTCCAGATGAGTCCATACGGGATAAACTCATTTTAATAGAAACAAAGGTAAGTTGACCGGAAGTGGAAGCTGGGCTTAATCGGTGCCCCATGTTACTCTGGCATGAGAGGGCAGATGGTACACAGGACCAAAGACACTCTGAATGTCCTTTCTCAAAAGAAGATAAAGTTACTAGGGAGATTTCCTTATGCATTAATTCATTCACCAAATATTCACCAAAATGATGGCACCAACACTGAAGTCATAATGATGAACAAGCCCACAAGGGTCCCTTTCTTCAAGGAGCTTACAGTCTAGCATGAAGAGGTGACATTAAAGAGAATATCTCATAAACAACCAGCTGCATTGATAAATTCTAGGACAGAGGAAGTGAATAGCAGGGGGAAACGTCCAAGAAATCAGGGAAAGCTTCCTTGAGGAAGTGGCATTTTACCCTGTGCCTTGATGGATGGACAGGGGTTGGCTCAGTGCAGAAGGTCAGGAAGAGCATTCTGGGCAGAGGGAGGGGCATGTACAATTAGCTGAAGCAGGATAGAGCTGGAGAAACCTAAAGAACGGAGTGTGATTAGGGACCAATGGGCAAGAAGGAATGGAGCAGAGATGGGTCTACCAGGCCCACATTGTTTTGGCCTGTGGATCAGGTTCTAGATTCAGGAATTTTCCTAAAAGCAGTGGGAGCAATGGGAGAGTTTTAAGTGGGGGAATATAGTGGTGAGGTGAAAGCCCCTACTATGTGTCGGCCATGGTGTCTTTCACTTGTACCATCTTATGGAACCCATGGACCAGCCCCTGAAGGGCAAGGATGATTTGCCTCCTCCTTTAAGAATAAAACTGAGTTTCAGAGATGCTAAGCAACCAAGGCAAGGACACCCAGAAAGCCAATGGTAAAGTCACCCTTTAAAATAAAGGGCCCATCCCTCTTGAGTGACAGCTGTGCCCCATATGCATGCTTCTGACCTGCCGTACTTTTTCTAATTTCCTTGTTTACATGTTTTCTTTCTCCCCCACAACATGAGTTTCTGGAAGGCAAGGACTTTATATTAGGATTGTTTTCTTAAGTATATTTTATTGATTATACTATTACAGTTGTCCCATTTTTTTCTCACCTTTATTCCCTTCTGCCCTGCAACTCCTCTCCCACCAGCATTCCCCCTGCCCCTTAGTTCATATCCAGGCATCATACATATAAGTTCTTTGGCTTCTCCACTTCCTATACTATTCTTAACCTCCTCCTGCCTATTTTGTATCTACAATTTGTTATCTTATTCCCTGTGACTTTTCCCCCATTCTCTACCCTCAACCTCCCCACTGATAACCCTACATGTGATCTCCATTTTTGATTCTGTTCCTGTTCTAGTGATTTCCTAGTTTTTGTTTTTGTCTTTGTTTCTTATGGATAGCTGTTGATAGTTGTGAGTTTGTTGTCATTTTACTCTTAACAGTTTTGATCTTTTCTTCTTCTAGATAATAATTTTACCTTCTTAGATAACTCCCTTTAACATTTCATATAATAAGGGCTTGGGGATTATGAACTCCTTTAACTTTTCCTCATCTGAGAAGCACTTTTTCTGTCCTTCCATTCTAAATGATTGTTTTGCTGAATAGAGTAATCTTGGATGTAGGTCCTTGCCTTTCCTGACTTTGAATGCTTCTTTCCTGCAAGGTTTCTTCTGAGAATCAGCTGATAGCCTTATGGGAATTCTTTTTTTAGGTAACTGTCTGCTTTTCTCTTGCTGCTTTTAAGATTCTCTCCTTATCTTTATTCTTGGGTAATGTAATTATGATGTGCCTCAGTGTGTGCTTCCTTGGGTCCAACTTCTTGGGGACTCTCTGAACTTCCTGGATCTCCTGGAAGTCTATTTCCTTTGCCAGACTGAGGAAGTTCTCCTTCATTATTTTTTCAAATAAGTTTTCAATTTCTTGCTCTTTCTCTTTGCCTTCTGGCACCCCTAAGATTCAGATGTTGGCATGTTTAAAGTTGTCCCAGAGGTTCCTCGCCCTCTCCTTTTTTGGAATTACTCTTTCTACATTCTGTCCTGGTTGAGTGTTTCTTTCTTCTGCTCCAAATCATTGATTTGAATCCCAGTTTCCTTCCCTCCACTGTTGGTTCCCTGTATATTTTTCTTAATTTCATTTTGCATAGCCTTCACTTTTTCCTCTATTTTCCAACCATATTCAACCATTTCTGTAAGCATCCTGATTACCAGTGTTTTGAACTCTGCCCCTGAAATGTTGCCTATCTGTTCATCACTTAGTCCTATTTTGGAGTTTTGATCTGTTCTTTCATTTCGGCCATACTTCTTTGTCTCAGGGCACCTGTTACATTTTAAGGGGTGGAGACTTAGATATTGGCCAGTGAAGGGCAACTCATGTAGCTGCATCGTGGTGCTGTATGTGGGGGAATGGGTCAGAGGTGGAACAATGCCAGTTGCTCAACTCTCCTCCAGTTTTCAGTCACTTCCCCAACTACCCACAAGTACATTGGGCCCTTCTGGTGCTGATTCCCAAGTGGGTGGGTTTGGGTACATTCCAGTCCCTGTGGGTCTCTCCAATTACATTCCTGTGAGGCTGGGAGTTTCTCCCATCTCCACAACCCCCATAAGTTTTTACAGCCAGATGTGTTTAGGATTCCTTTTCCCATGCTGGTACCATGTTGCACGGTCTGTCTCCCCTGCTGTTCCTACTGGTTTATCCAAAAGCAAATGTGAGATTGAGAGCTGACATCTCACCCACCTGGTCCTCCAGCCATCACTTTGCCACACATCTTCTCCACCCCAGCCACCCATCTCAGCCCCTCCTGACAGTCTGGATAAATGTTTCTTCTTTAACTCCGTGGTTGTTGGACTTCCATACAGTTGAATTTCCTGGCAGTTCTGGTTGTTTTTTGTTTTCTAAATGTGTTGTCCTTTCGGTTGTGCGAAGATGCAAAGTGTATCTACCTATGCCTCCATCTTGGCCCTCAAGATTTCTCTATCACCAGACATAGTTCAGGGGCAGCAGTGAAGGCAGTTAGGCTTGGAAAGACAGGAGGGAAAAGAATGATGGATGGGGGGATGAAGGAAGAGAGAGGGGTAATGAAGATGGATGGAAGGAAGGACAGCCTGAAACCCAGATGGAAAAAATGACAAGGGTGGGTGGGGTTAGCCCCGGTGCATAACCACCCTCCTGGCTCTCACAGCCTGTGGCTGAGCCCAAGCTCCTAACCGACCTCCTGCCATTTCTTTCAGGCATGGTGTTGGGGGGCTGTGGGGACAAGTCCATTCGTTTCCGTCCCACTCTGGTCTTCAAGGATCACCATGCGCACCTGTTCCTCAATATTTTCAGTGACATCTTAGCTGACTTCAAGTAAAGAAGCCATTTCCACTACACTCTGGAAAAGCGCTGTTCTCAACAGTTATCAAATTGATTAATTTGCCTAATTCATGTTTTCACTTAAAGTATCAGAAGTGAATGCCAAAGCTGAAGGGTGGTGTGTGGGGAGGTGATGTTTTTGGTGGATTGTGGGGAGGGGAGAGGTTGGAGGGACTGGTTTAGGTTTTCCTCCCTGCAGGGCCAATAGTACCCATTGGTCTAAGCTCAGAAATTCTGCTTGGGCCCCAGGCACTCTTAGGATTGGCCCTGAGGGTCTGGGCTGTATATCTGCCCATACTGAACCCCATCAATTTCTTTGAAAGCCAGTCAAGGGAATGACACATGCTCGTGAGAAGGGTAGCTGGGACTCCTGGGTTGCAGTCCCTCTCAAGTGCCATATTCTGTGATCAAAAATGTTGGCTCCCTTGCCCTGCGGAAACACACTCGCCCATCACCCAACCACTGAAACTCCGGGCATGTCACATGCACAGATCAGTGAAGGACAGGACAGATCATATGAAGGCAGGATTGTAGGGACATTAGACAAGGGTGTGGGAAGGGGTCTTCTCAAGACTTGGGCCGTTCCTCCTAGTGCATCTGGAGATTTCTCTGAACGGTGACTTCTGTCCTTGATGGGGCTTTTGGAGACTGTCCAGGTGGCATCATGGATGGTTCCTACTGCCGTCCTCATTCCCCCAAGTTCTCTCCCCATTAAATGTCAACTGAGGCCTCTGGAAATAAAAAAATAAAACTGCAGCCTGAGAAGGGTGCACACAGGGACACATGTGAGCTGAAAGCTCAGAAGCACAAGCCAGTCTCCCTGGAGCATGAGCCCAAGGCCTGGAGCAACATCACTTCCTCCTGTCTTTGAATCACCTGGGGTCTGCCTTTTGGACTCCTCACCCAGGAGGCTCTTTCTCTAGGTTTGGCTCTCCCTTCTTTGCTCCACTTCAGACGAACCCTAGGAATAGCTTTGTAGTCAGTTGCTAAACTACATTTCTTCCTGAGCAAAGCATCATGAATTGAAGGCACCAGAGCTCCAAGCAGGTTAAAAAAAAAAAAAAAAAAAAGGCTGTTGGTTCAAGGCAGTTTCCTTGTCCTTGGCACTGCAAATCAGAGGTTTCTCTAATTTGAACAAGTGTGGCGATTACCAGGCACTAAAAGGCTTAACTGCACTATGGCTGAGGCTAAGGGTACTCTGCTGAAGGCTAGACTTCCTTGGAACTGATTTAAGTTCGCAGCTGGTAGTCCTACAGCGTTGGGGACTGTTTAGTAGGGAGATGAAGAAAGTCTGGGTTGTTGTATTCTCTCTCCAAAAGGAAACCACTTCATCTTCCAATGCTTTGATTGCCCTTTTGGGAAGATGGACATATCAAGGTTCTCCATTCAGCACTTCGCTCTTTTAATAATCAGCCAAAGATCTCGAAGTGGTTTTTTTTCAGCTGGCACTCTTCAGCAGACTTGCTCTTTGACATGCTTTTGTTGAGAAAGAAAGGCACTAACATGCCTAACACACAGACAAGTCCTGTGAGTTCCTGCTCACTTTGCATTCTCGCAGTCAGTGCTACACCATTGCTTTAAAGGAGTTCTGCTGTGTTTAAGGCCATTTACGCTGCCAACTAAACAGAGATGTATGCCGCCCCCTGTCTGCAAGCCTTCACTCATTTGTATGTTTATTAAATCATTCCTTCATTAAACACATGTGCTGTCCCAGGCCTAGTGCTAAACACCAGGATTACAAACCTGAAATAAAACATGGTCCTTGCTCTCAGGAGATTCACATCCCATTGGGGACAACAGACTCTTAAACCAACAGTTAAAGCTGAGCGGCAAGTGCTGTAATGCGTAGGTAGAGGAGCATCAGGAAATCAGAGGGAGAGCCCCAATCCACATCAGAGGACGTTTCAAGAAGAAAGTGACATTTGAGCAGGGTTTTGCAGAATGAGCAGGAGTTCACCAAACAGACAAGGCAAGGAAGAGTGCGCAGAAAGGGAACAGCACGTGCAAAGGCCCACCAGTTCATGGTCTCACACCTTTCACTGGGGATCCAGATTCCACAGGCAGTAGCCCAGGATTCAAGGCCTTATTTAGCAAACAAGCAAAATGCAAACCAAACCATCATTCATTTATTGGCATGAGTATGGTATCTCCTGAGCACTTTAGCACTGGATGCAAACATACAATAAGAGTTCCTGGAGTCCAGAGGGTCTTACACTAAGGCACAACGGGAAACTTGGCTCTCTTTGCCGGAGAGTGGCTCTAATGTGTTTTCTCCCAAGAGGACATTGACAGAAAAATGAAACCATTTCATCTAGAAAATCATTTCCAGATTTACTCATTCCTTACCAAGAGAAATTACTCTTGTAAAACTTTTAAAGCCACTTATCAAGTTCTTACTGGCTTGGGGCACAGAGAGTTCCTGATACACCTGTTTTTGGGGTAGGAGTCAGATGGGGAAATGTGAAGGAAAAGGATTCTCAGCAGAGCTCTAGATCATAGGAACTTGGAAGAGGTTGGTGAAAACTCGGGGTGGCTGGGTCACAGTGGACAGGGTACCGTGAAGGGCGGAGCCCAGGGAGAAGTGCTTCTGTGGTGAGGGACTGGAAATGGGTCCATCATGTATTAGCGCCATAGAGTTTAGTAAACGTCTCTAGAAAATCTTGCCATTCTTACAGAAAATAAGGTCCAGTAATAGCAAGTCTTAGCATATCCTCCCTTTTATTATAAATGGGTGTTTTAAAATAATTTTTACTGACACTCAGTAACCATGCAAAGTTGTGCACATTAATATATCTATACCTGTCTATCTATCTAGTGTGTGTGTGTGTATGTGTGTGTGTGTATTAGTTCATGGTAGAAAACCCACAGCTAGGGAGCATCGCCAACTTACCCATACAAAGTGACCTTGTTTACAGTATTCTGTTGACAGTGCCAATAAATGGTAAAGGAATTAACGTGACAATGTAACTGGTGATCACATGCACAATTCCATGAATTAAATATTTCCTGTATTAATCAGTATTGTTAAAATAAAATATATATATTTATAATGGAAACATCAGAGTGATTGTGGCCTTTTTGGTTGGAAATGGTTTTAAATAATTATTTGGCAAGTACTTATTAAGCATCTATTACATATACCTCTTAGGGATGTCTTCAGGGAACATCCTGCCTGCATTGGGTGTGAGCCATTAATTTCTCCAGGGCTCATCAAGGAGGTACCCTGTAATAGAGATCAACAAGCTGTGGTCCTCACTTTGAGTTCAGCTTCCAGTGGAGTAAAGGTCACATTAACTCAGCATAAGGACCAGGATACAGGAAGACCTTCGATACCATACATGCACAAAGGACTGGACCTAAGTTGGGGTGGATTTTGGGCCGCTGAGTTTCCTCCTCAAGGTTGAGCAGGAACCCTTCAGGGACTCAGAGGAGGGAGGGAAAGCATCAGATCAAGAGATAGCTAGCTGAAAGTACAAAGGTAGGGGGAGGCAGAAGGCATCTCTCCATTGTTCAGATGCCTAGATCACTACAGAAGGGATTCCAGAACCGCTTACAGACGAGGTAAAAGAAATGGGCAGGGCTCCAATCCAGAGGCCCTTCTGTGCTGTGGGGCATGGGTCTTCGACGCAGTGATGGAGCCACTAAGGTTTGGAGCATGTAATTCCAACATGCATTTTAGAGACTGTCCTGCGTGTTCACCATGACAAACAGGGAGGTGGGGAGACTGGTCCGGCCACTGCCACCATCAAGATGACTTGATAGCCTAACTAGGACACTAATGGGATGGATGGAGAAAGAAGGAAAAGCACAGAATCCAAAACACACAGGGCAGTGACTTTCGAAGCTGGATGCACTTTAGAGTCGCCCCAGAAAGCTTTCTAAACAAGCCTAAGGCTAGGGCCCTACCCCAAACCAGTGAGGTCAGATTCTCTCCATGGCCGACTAAGGTGATGAGTTGATGAATGACTGGAATCAACAGGGAGGCTCAGAAGAGATGCTTAGTAAGCGCCTGCAGAAGTGAGTTGGATCTACATCCCTCTGGTGTCTTGCCCTGGAAGCAGGGATGGTGGGTTTTCTCATTTCCACTCCCAGGTGTCTCAGTGGCCTTCCATCACCCTTATTGTTCTCACCTGTAAAATCTACGGCTTGGACATGATTTCCAAGGTATCTCCCAGCTCAGACATCGGACATGTCTATGAAACAATTGACTTGAAAGGCAGTATCTACCATTACATGTATTTTTTAAATCACACATAGTAATACTTAGCATTTGCTGAGTATCTACAATGTGCAAGCACATCCTACCAGTGCTTTTTAATTTTCACAACAAACCTACAAGCTATGTACTTGTATGTGTTTTTAATGTGAGGAAATTGAAGCTCAAAATCACAGCCTGGAAGCCAGGATACAGATGTATGAGGATGGCATGTGTGTGTAATCAAATGTGTGTTTGTATGTGCACGCATAGAGTCATCTTGGGATTGGTTAAGGATAGGGACTACCAGTGACCCTTCTCACAGCTGGCCTGGCCACTGGCCTTGGCAGGTAGACTTGAACTGGTCAGCATAACGTGAGATCCTAAACATACAGGCCTGAGGTGGGTGGGTGGAAGGTGCCAGAGCCTCAAAGTCAAATACTATTTGTTAAAAAAAAAATTGTTTTCTATTTTCTGTACTTCCTCGCTGGGGAAGCAGGACAAGGCAGCAGGGCGACCCAACTCAGCTACTTTCAAACTGGACGACCTTGAGCAAGTCACTTCGCCTCTCAGAGCTTCATCTGCAAAATGAGGTTGATAGCAGTAATGCTAGCTAACACTTAACGAGTGCTCCCTTGGACCAGAAACTATTTTAAGGGCTTTTCGTCTAGTGAGCAGGTCTCCTCAACCATCCCAAGTGGGTGCTTTTATCATTGAAGAAACCAAGGCCCAAACAGGGGCTATATAACTGGCCCAAGGTCACAGCTAGGAAGTGCCAGGGCTGGGATTCCAGCAGGCAGCACATCTTGCCTCAAAGCCATGTGCATACAACTGCCTCTCTCTGGCTCTCCAACTTGGACAGTTGCTCGAAGGTTTAAATAAAATGATGTGATGTTTGCTGGGCACACAGTACGTGCTTAGTACATGATAGTGCCCTTTGACATTTGATCTCTGTGAATAGTGTTGCACATATGGTTCTCAACATTATATTTCTGTCAGAGTTAAGTTCCCACTTGTTGGGAATATTAAATCTAATTCCCAAAAAAGGTAAACAACCAATCCTGGAATGTATCTCAACTGTTAATAAGTAAAAGGGATGTTTTGTCACCAGAGTTGGTACAAACATGGCCAGACGGCCTCAGCCCTGCTAGACTAATTCTAATCAGCCAAGATTTTATAGTAGAATGCTGCAGGATCAAAACAAGGCCATAAAAGTTGGACTCTTCCTGGGGTCAAAGGGAACTCTGCTTTCCATCTGGGACTCACAAGTCCTGAAATCACGAAGCGGTAAAAGGAAAGCTCCAACCCTAGTTGTTCGGGCAATTCATCCCGGCTGGGCCTGTGGGCAGCTAAGCACACCAGATCCAGGGACTGCATTAAACATGGTCATTGCTGATGGGCTGGGGTGGGCTTTCTGGCCCTATGACAAGGTCTCATTCTTGGTAACAAGACACTCACAGCTGGCCACTGGCCTTTCAGTGTAAAAAGGACAACAGCTCTCAGATGTGCCCCTTGTGAATGTCCCCAGCTAGAGCTGACCTCACCCTGGTCTGGAGGCCCCTTCGTCAGCTCGGGCTGCTGTAACAGTTCCTTAGACTGGACGGCCTAAAGAGCAAACAACTACTGCTCAGTTCTGGAGGGTAGAAGTCCACGGACAGGTTCTTGCTGAAGGTCTGGTCCTGGTTATATGCTCACGTGGCCTTCCTCACGGCACTGTCTTTTCCACTTCATTTAAGGGCAGTAATTGCATCTTGAGGGCCCCACCCTCAAGTCCTCATCTAACCCTAATCACCTCCCAAGGCCCCACCTCCAAACACCATCACATTAGGGGTTACAGTTTCAATATATGATTTTAGGGAGGACAACTCAGTCCATAGCAACTACCATATGAAAACTGACATGCTACAGACCACCACCATTCCCTGCACCTAAATTATATATAGCCCAGGGGTTGTATGGAGGGGTACAAAGCCCACAATGTTCTCAGGAGGCAGGAAAGAAAGCCTGTCTACAAGGGACACAGTTACGACCCACTGACACTTTCAGTGACTGAATGTTTACTACTGTCAGCTCAGTTTCCAAGTCCACAGTGGAAACACGCGGTTGAGAAACTTTACCTAGAAAGGTGACGTGAGGAGGAAAGGATGGAAGAGACTGTGTTTATCACACCATTTTTCATGTTAAGACATGACAAACTCATGAAAGTTTTAAACACTAGGTTACAAAGCTGAAACAGGAAAGTCTTCCCTTCCTGTCATCCACCCCCTCCTATCCTGAAACCTCTCCCCAGAGGTAATTACTGGTCACAATTTGGAATATATGCACTCCTTAAAACACAATTAAGATTATATAAAACTATATCATTCTGTGACTTGTTTTTCAAATAATTCTTTCTACATCAGCAGATATAGATGAATCCATCTCCTGTTAAGGGCCATGTAACATCCCATAGTATAGATCTACCAACATTGTATTTTTCAATTACAGTTTACAAACATTTATTTAACCGTGTTGTCTACTAATAGGGACTTAGTTTATTTCCAGTTTTGCTAATGCTATTGTTTTGTTTTGCTGTTACATTCAGTGAACATCCTCATGGGTATGCCTGGGTATTTCCATTAGATTACTGTTGGAATTGTTATCAAAGGGGTAATCACCTGTATATCTACCACCTGAAGCTGCTGCTTGATTTCGGAGAACATCAAACCCCACACAATGATTTTCAACACTTGGAGTGCCTTGGAATTACCTGGAAAGCATAAAAATACAGATGCTGTTTCTACCAGACTCTATAGGGGTTGGACACGGGCAAGTTTTGCTGTCTTTGTTGACTTGGGATTATTTTTGCAGTTCACAGGTGCCACTCTACACATGTTGTAGAAGCCCTAACTCGATTCCCATTGTCACATGGAGATCTAGGATTTTAGCTCAGGAATAAAGGAATGGATAAGGCATTTGCTCTCTGTGCCCTCTGCTGGTACTACAGAGCAAACCACGCATCGGCCTGGAAGCTCTTTCTTCCAAGGCTGGTGAGAGTCCCAGCTCTCACGTCCCAGTGCAGTGAGACTTCCACACGGTGACTGTTGACACAGGCTACACATGTGAACCACCTGAAGGGCATGGTCATAGGCCTGGGTAAGGATATTTTTAAGATGCTCTCCAGGTGATTCTGCACATGGACACAAGGTTTGAGAACCTATTCTTTAGGCAAAAAATTGGCCCAGGCACACACAGTCCACAAAGACATCTGATGTGAGAGCCCCGAGTTCTCTGGGTAGTGAGCACTGTCTTGGCAAGGGTGCTGTGCTTGCCTGGATAACACTCCTGCCTCAGTCATGAAATTACTATCTGGGAAAACGAAATGACCCACTTGTAGGTTTCATCCCAGTCCCATCTCTTACTGGGTCTACCACTCCATCATCGCTGAACTAACACTTAATGTTTACTCTTGCCTGCGCAGTTTGCAAAGCACTTGACATTTATTATTTATTCTCACACTCATCCCAAGACACAGCAGGAGTTTACATTTTACAAATGTGAAAAACAAGGTTCAGAGAGACTCAGTTACCTGCCCCAGGACAGAAATTAAGGACAAACAAAACCCAAGTATTCCCACCCAAATCCTGTTTGCCCACCACACCCGTCTTCCCATTTCACAGCACTGTACTGTTTGTGTGCCCTGGGCACAGCTTCTTCCAAGAGCTGGCTCTCAACAGAAACTTCTGGCCATTTCCTAAATGAATGTTATATACATGTGCGGTAAGAATCTGCACTAAGGCCTTTGTTCTAAATGAGGTCACTAGCATCTGCCTCATGACTTTTCTCATTCCAAAAGACAAGTTTCCCAAGAGCCCTGACAAAGTCTCCAGCTGATAGGTCCCCATCTTTGGCCTCACCCACGCTTTCAGCCTTCTGTCGGAGATCCAGGGGGCCCAAGGTACCCGGAAGCCCAGTACCCAGTGTTCACTTCAGTGTGTCCAGCACCCCAAACACCTGTGTGAAACGCTCTCTGTCCAGGATGCGTCCGTAGCGCAGGGTGAGGTAGAAGGTCTGCTTGCCACTGTACTGCTGGATCCGTACGAAAAGTTCCTGGGGCCGGTCCTGGGTTTCCGTCACAGGGATCACGTCAGCCACCGGGCAGTATGTGTCTTGCCGCCAGCCCCAGAAGGTCAGGTGGGCCACCCGCAGCACGGTGCCTGACTCATTCACATACAGGATACCCACTAGCCTCCGGAAGAAATAGCTCATCCAGCACAGCATGGCCAGGGCGAAGCTAGCTATCCCACCCGCAAGGCACAGGGAGTTCAACGTCACAAGGCCCTGGGAATACCAGTAAAAGCCAGGCGGCAGGGCCACCACTGTCAGGGCCGTTTGTGCCACCTTCAGCTGAGACAAGTACCTAAACACTCTGATAGCATCAAACCGGTAGATCATCTGGAATTTCTCTGCCTCTGTGCCTGCTGGTTTCTTTCTTAAGGTGGGTGACCTACTCCCCACCCACCTCCTAAAATCCTGCCCATTGCAGCACTGAAGCCCGTAGAGAGGCCTTCCCCACACAGCTGGCACTGGCAACCGCGGCACAGCTCGGAGGAGAGCAGCCTGGAAAGGAGACAAGAGACCATTTCTCTCAAAGAACTCAACTGTGCTACTCACACACTGAACATCCGCAAAGCATCTTACGTGGAGGCTCCTGCCAATCTTGTAAGGTCACCGTTATTGCCAAAGACGGAGGGAAAGGGGAACCTGGAGGCTTTCCTTCACGTGACCGTCACAAAAGCTGTGTGCAATAGTAAAAATATACGCCCAGAAAAGGTAAGAAATTTCCCCAGGGACACACAGCCAGTGAGTGGGACACTGTCTGACTCTCACACCGGTGCTCCTTCCTCCACGTCAGTATAGAAAGGAGGCACAGCCTTCATTCATTAAAAAGCTACCGCCCTCGCTGGTGTGACTCAGTGGACTGAGTGCCCCCACTCGAACTCAAACGTCTCCAGTTCAATTCCCAGTCAGAGCATATGCCGGGGTTGCGGGCCAGGTCCCCGGTTGGGGGCCTGCAATAAACCGACCGAGGTTTCTCTAGCACCGGGATGTTTCCCTCTCTTTCTCCCTTCCCCTCTCTCTAAAAATAAACAAAATCTTAAGGCAAAAGAAAAGAAAGCTAGGGAGAGCCAACCCCGGGGGTGGGCCCTGAATCCATAAGACTGGGTGAGTATTTCCCCAAGCAGGAAATGTCCCAGTGGAGAACAAATCTGTTAGCTATTTAGCACAGTAACTTTCGGAATCTCTGTCAGGTTAGAGCGTCATCTGAGTCCTGAAGGGAAATGATGTTTTCTTAGCCTAATTACGGGGAGCGGGGAGGCTGGAGGAGTACAGTGGGATCAAAGAGCCAAACGGAAGCACAAGGATTTTTTTTAGATGCACAGTTTCACACCTTGAGTCGCACAAAATTGCTTTCGGCTCTGGAACAGGCCTGGGTTCCAATCCCCACTTCTAGTCACTAGTTGTGGATCCTCGGGGAATTTACTCCCCCTCTCTAGACCTCAGTTTCATCTTTCAAATGTGGATTCAGAATATACTGAATGAGATGATGGTTTTAGAGCCCTCGAGAGTACCTGATGGACCTGATGCACGGTGAGTGCTCGGTCACTTCTAGTATCGGGGTCGTGGACGCACGTGACAGGACCGCACAGGAAGCCCGGCAATAAAATATCGTAACCCACCCGGAGGGCCCTCCCGCACGTTCGCCAAATCACAACCTCAGGCATCTGCCTGCCGGCCTCACGCGTGGCTGCGACCCCAAAAGCGCGTCACCTCCCTCAGTCCCCACCATCCTCCTTACCATCGCCCGGATACCTGCTACCGATCCCGCCGGCACTCGGGATCTCTAAGAGCGCATGCCCGGCCGTAACAGGCCTGCGTGAGGCCCATTGCTTTCTGGGATTTGTGGTCCAGAGAGAATCGGGGACGCTGTCCCAGGCCCTGTGGAAGTGGATCCTCCTCCTACCAACGGGCCCCGCAGCGCAGTGACTGATCCCGGAAGTCCCGGGCCTTTAGGTGCCAACGGGTCACGTTAGGTGCTGCATGGGATCTGGAGACTTGTTTGCGCCCAGCCCTCCCCACCCAGGTCGCTCTGTCTGTTCGACGTGGACGGGACCCTGACGGCCCCGCGGCAGGTAGGCGGGAACGGGCTGGCAGGAGTCTATTGCAGTCCCCACACGGGACTAAAGACCACCCAGGGCAGGCACCGAGGGGCGGCTAAGGACCGCCTACTTCCTCTGGCAGGGCTAAAGTCAGTTCTGGGTGCCTTGGAGGCATGAGCCGGAAGACCTCAGGGTGCTTGGGGATGGGACGTGCCGAAAATCTCTTACAAGTAAGAAACTTGTATTGGGTTGGGAATTTGCGGTTTTGGACTCACCGCAAGCCCCGGCTTTGAATCACTGCTCAGCCCCCTTAGCAGCTATGTGCCCTCCTCACTTCTGTCACTTATGGGATGTGTCTTGTACGCGCACAAAAGAGAAACATTGATTGATTGCCTCTCGTAAGCGCCTGGACCGGGTATAGAAAACATAGGTAAAGAGTCACATAACAAGCACTCTTGCCTTCGCTGACCATATGGTTTGTAGTAACTACTCAACGTTAATGCAAAAGCAGCCCTGGACCATTTGTAGACACAGCGTGGCAGGGTCCCCGTTAAACTGTATTACAAAAACACACAGCTGCTCCATTTGTCCCATTGGTCATAATGGTCTAGGGCTTACATTCTAAGCCTTTCTACACAGTCATTGGACCCTCTCAACTTTTCATCCCAGCTAGTAACAGTTTTTACTATCCTTGTAAGGAAATCGTAAGGAAACTGAGACCAAGATCCTCTTTATTTCACACAGCAGATCTTGTACCAGTCTCCGGGCCTCAGGGCATTGTATTTGCCAAGTTTACCATTTTCTGCCATTGTTCTAAGGTGGAAGCTATTCTGGTTGCTGGGTATACTATTCAGGAAAGTGCTTCTGATTCACAGAAGGAATTAGGTTATATAAGCATAAAGAATGAAATAGCAATGAAACCATGCAGCCCACAAACATTGGAAGCATGATATTCTTTGCAAAGTACATACATCATTTTAACACTCAAAAAAATCTGCAATTTAAAAGAAAATTGTATCTGTGTGGTGGGTGCTCTAAGTAAAAAAACAATATATAAATATATATAAAATAAATGTATATATTTATTTTAGCAACAGATCTACTCATTATCCAGCCTTCCCTTCCTCTTCAATGTATTCTCAAACATTGACAAGCACAATACAATGTGGAAATCAAATGGATTATCTTTTATTGAAGCTGCTGAAACAGGATATGACCTAAACAGGTTAATTCTAGTTAGCATGGAGTCCAGAGCTTTGCACATTTCACTCTTTCAATAGAGTTTTGTTGTACTTAGTACTTTCTCAAAATATGACACTTCATCTAAAAACAGTTGATACTTAGAACAAAAGCCTGCAAAAAGGGGGGGAGGGGTGGCATAAACCTCAGTGAATTTTTTTCCAACTTTCTGTCATGAAAAATTTAAAACATACAAAACCACTGAAAAAATAGTACACAGGATAGCCATACCCCCTCCACTTACGTTCAGCGATGATTTACATTAACTTTATCTTCCTTTTTTTTTTTAAATCTTTGCTGCACCATTTCCTAAACTGCCGTCATCAGAGTGCTTCACTCCTAAACGCTGAGCTTGCATCTCTTGAGGACAGGACATCTATCATAACCACCGTATCATCATCACACCTAAGAAAACTCACCAATTCCTTAGTATTATTAAATACCCTAGTCCAGTGGCCGGCAAAGTTTTTTCTGTAAAAGGCCAGGTAATAAATAGCCAGGGCGTCGCAGGCCATGTGGTCTCTGTCACAACTGCTGGTACTCAGCTCTGTTGTTGCTATAGATATTATGTTAATGAGTGGTCATGGCTGTGTTTCCGTCAGACTTTACAGAAAAACAGTGGCTTACTGTGGCCCATAGTTCCTATTTTGTTGGACTCTTACTCTTTTCCACTCAGTTTTCCTTAATTGTTCCCAAAATTGTTTTATGATTATTTTTTCCAGAAGGTGAGGTTTTTACATTTTTCCAACCTAATTTCAAGTTTTTGGTTCTTGCTCTGTTTTTTATTTTGTATAGGGTAATTGATAAAGAATTCCTTGTAATTATTAACACAAGCGTTATTTGGGAACATCACAATTTTGCTCTAAAGATCTGTCCTGCAGTGGGGTGCAGGGGTATCCAACCCACACACCGCAGGCCGCATGCGGCCCAGGGTAGCTATAAAGGCAGCCTAGCACAAAATCGTAAATTTACTTAAAACCCTTTTTTTTTTGCTCATCAGTTTTCATTAGTGTTTGTGTATTTAATGTGTGGCCCAAGACAACTCTTCTTCCATTGTGGCCCAGAGACACCAAAAGGCTAGACACCCCTGAAACATTCTGTTGTGGTCACAAGCAGCTGGGTCATATTCCCTATTAAAAAATATTTGTTGCCCCTTGGAAGTAAAAATGCACCTTCTACAACCCATTCACATTGCAGAACAGGTCTGATGGCTGACCACAATACCCTTTAGCTTATCAGCATGCACAGGGGTAAATTAAATTTTCCCCGTTGGCCTCTCTTTGAAGATGGAAGTATTGACGGGGCTATTATTGTTAGTATTCCATATTTTACAATCAAAGGAGTCTTTCCCACTTCCCCTCATTCTGACGTCAAGACTCAATAAACCACTTAGGGGACTCAGGGACTCCTTTTCATGGTCATTGACTCATAGAGGCTGCTATCGCAGTTCTAGATTTTGTCTACGAAGTCAAGATTCCACTGGGAGATGATAACAAGGGTGCAGTCTATTTATTCTGTACAATTCGATTTTATTAATCATATGTTATGTGCTACTCTAAAGAATTTTTAGAGGATTGAACTCTAGATGTTATATATTCAGGTTGACCTAAATGATATGTTTTTGCTTTTGTTTTTAATTTCTGTTAACTTTATTTGTAAAGATATTCCATTGTAAGTGTACAATTTCAACAAATAAGATTGCTATAGGTAATGAAATCAGACTTTTAAGAATTCAGTGTGCTATATGTTAACACAGGGATATCCTTTCACCTTGGTTTATAATTTCTTTTGAATTAGTTTGCAATCTAAGGAGCATAAAATTATACCATTGAATCCACTGTTTACAGAAAGAGGCATTTCTTTTAGGAAAGATAAAAACAATCCAGTGATCTTTTAGGCTATTTTTTGGTATAATTATAATAAATCAATTCTGAATTTCCTTTTTAATCTGAGTATGTTATTTTGGTTTAAAGTCAACAATTTAAATCCGTAAATGGAGTGAAATGCAGCATTTGAAAGGAAGCACTACATCTCAGTGTGTGTGGCATGGAATGATCACCACATGAAAAAAGTCAAGTCACTGCACAAGACATGGGTTGATGCACTTGTGTTTCAAGAAATAAGACAATTTATATATGCATGTGCTTATAGCCAAGTATATAAATGCATAGAAAAAATAGCTGGAACAGTACACAACAGTTGTTAATATAGCATGTGTTTAAAATGAGTTTAAAAATTAAGTAAACTTTAAGAAGTTTTTTCTGGTAAAAGGTGGATGTCCCAAAATTATAGCTAGAATATTTGAATTTATCTATGGACCTAAAAACAGAATTGGCATATATGAAAGTAAGGGTTCTATTTTTGTCATTTTAGACTCCTGAATACTTTATGGCTCATAACTCTTGTATTTTCCATTTTGAAATGTAGAAAATTACCAAAGAAATGGATGACTTTCTACAAAAATTGAGGCAGAAGGTCAAAATCGGAGTAGTAGGTGGCTCAGACTTTGAGAAAGTGCAGGAGCAACTGGGAAATGACGGTAAACTGTACACTGCTAATTACGTTTTGGTAAAAGATTAACTTCTTATAAGGATACTGAGAACTGTATCCGTGAAGTATCATAAGCAGCCCTGAACTCCCATCGTTGCTTCCTTGTTTGGGGAAACATTTTCACTGTCTTTATTTTCTTCTGTTTTAATCCTATAATAGAGTTGCTAGTAGACTCATCTAGAAGGTTGAGTGTTACCCTAGAAGGGTGAATGTCTTGTGTCCTTGCCTATAATACTTCTTGTCCCTGTGCACTGCCCTTCTGGCCTCAAGCTCAGGCCCTGTCTCCTGGCTCTCACCCAGGCATTGGGTTGGGTGCCCTCTGAGGCTAAGGGCCTTCCCACTGTTGCCCTAACACAGAGTTTCCCAGAGTTCCCTTAGTCATAAATCACCCAGGCTCCTCCCCCTCCTACTGAACCCTAATCGCCAGCGCAAGACCCCTGGGGAGCGGAAGATTTCGATGGGCCTTTCACTGCAGGTTCTGACTCAGTGGGTCTACAGGGTCTGGGAAACCTATTTTAGCAACTCTCCCAGTCTGTGAAGATGGTGTATTCCTTCAGAGTCCTTACTGGAGTTTAGCAGTTTTATTGGTGAGAAATGTTAATCAATAAATAGAAACAAGTTTCAATTCATTGCATTCTGAGTTTTGTTTTGGTTGCAGTGGTTGAAAAATACGATTATGTGTTTCCAGAAAATGGCTTGGTAGCATACAAAGATGGGAAGCTCTTGTGTAAAGAGGTAGGTTCTTGAGCATCCAAACTACTACTGTCTGCTACTAGTAAGATTGTTTTCCAAAAAGATATTTGACACCGACTGCCTCTGGGGAGTGTATCTGGGAGCTGAGGAACAGGGTGGGAATGAATCTTCACCCTGTATTTCTTGCAGTTTGATTGTTGGACCATAGGGCTATTCCAAACTGTTAACTATATTTTTATAAATGTTTTTTAAGGATAAGTGATCTAATATTTCTCATGATAGCAGAGACGAGAGAAGCTGCCTCACTACAAGCATATTAAGAAACACTAGGTAGCTCTTACTGGTTGGTATTAGGATCGTTCTGTCACATATACGAGAAAGCCAAAGTGGGATATATACATTTTCTGTCAGATTCAGTAGACATTTTGATTGAATAAAAGCAGCAGCAATAAGGTCTTTAGGCCTTCCATTAAGCATTTGAAAGATAATGGATACAAAAATCTTGACCGATGAAGCTGGAAATGCTGTGACTAAGCTCTTTCCTGTCTGACTGACGTTTTCAGCTGGAGAACGAAGGGAAAGAAGGAGAACGGCGGTGGGCGGGGCTACCTCCCAGCTGCATTGGCCTGGTGACCCTGGACTGGGAGTGGCTGAGGACCTGTTTTAAAATGCCTCCCACTGTATCCAGTAACTCAAGTACTTTCTTTATCCTAGAATATTCAAGGCCACTTGGGTGAGGCCCTAATCCAAGACTTAATCAACTACTGTCTGAGCTACATTGCGAAAATTAAACTCCCGAAGAAGAGGTGGGTTTGCCTTTAGCAAAGAGGCTCCAAAGGCACATGGAGTGACGTCGTTTGGTGGGTCGGTGCTCATTTAAGTCCAAGTCCCAGTGCTTAATAAAGAATCGCTGGAAAGCTTCTGCAAAGCCAGTGGTAGAAGAATGATTATACAAAGGACGCATGTCCACTTGATGGAAATTGAAAACGATATGCTTTCAAAGGCGACCGGTTGGGGAAATGCCTGTGAATCAGCGGTGTGAAAAAAGCAACATAAAGCCCAGACCGGGAAATCTCGAACTGAGGGCCAGCAGTCCAGATCCCACACAAAGCCGTTTGGTTGTCCCACAGCGTTAAATCATACCTGAATGGATTGCTGTCATTTAAAAGTCTGATTTTACATTTCGAAATATCTGGATTGCTAGCTTCTGTTGCATCTGAAGACCTGACAGATGGATGCCCGTTTCCACAACGCAGCACCACCCCCTCCAGTCTTTCACAGCCACTTGGCTCATTTCGCTGATTGTGTAGGCATTGCATTTGGGAACTTCCCTCTTGAATTGTCATCTCAATTCCCATTCTTAAATTACAACATAATGTACATACATGCACACAATTGAAAGATTGGCAGAAGCCCTGGCCGGGCGGCTCAACTAATTGGAGCACCGTCCCGTGCACAAAAAGGTTGCGGGTTCGATCCCTGGTTGGGGCACGTATGGAAGGCAACCGATCGATGTTTCTCCCTCTCCCTCTCTCTCTAAAATCGATAAACATACCTCTTCATGTGAGCATTAAAAAAAAAAGATTGGCAAGAAATGAACAGCTGCTAACAATGGCCATTTCTTGGTGGTGAGGAGACAGGTGGTTTCTTTGAAATACTTTTCATTTTCTTGTCTGTGTTCTGCCTTTTATATGTAACACCTGTGATCAGAGGGAGACACATTTTTTAAATGGCAAACTTCAGGATAATGCTGCACTTTCGTGACTATAAGAATTGATGGAACAAGTACTGCTCAGAACCTCCAATCAGAGGGCAAAGGGCTTTCCTTCCCAAATCGGTCCCAGAGGATGAGACAGGCTGGACGCAGCTTGCAGCTGGGTGAGGGCACAGGGGGGCGGGGCGGGGGGGCTCATTATCCTCCTCTGTCTGCTTTTGAATATATTAGAAATTCTCCACAGTAAAAAGTGAAACTGTATCTTATATCCCAGGTCATCTTAGTCTTTACTTTAGACTCAGCATTAAGGAAGGATAAAGAAAAGGAAATCGTAAAATGAGGGAGACCCGTGTGTGGAGCTGTGATTCTGAATGAGCGTGGTCTGCCTGGTGAATCCTGGAGGCAGAACTGAGACCCCCCCCCTTTGAGCATTCGCCCTCATTTCTCAGCAGTACTAGCTGTGTGCCTCGCATAAGTCTGGCAGGTGCAGGGAGACGTCAGGGAGGAGTCGACTCCTGGGAAACCGCCTTAATTCTGAGTTTGAAAGCAGAAGGCTGTCTCAGACGCATCAGCCTCCCTACTGTGGGAATGAGACTCATACTGTGTCCTTGAGTTGGGGAAAAATAACTGAGCTCTTTTTCTGGTCGTTTAGGACCTGCAGCCCTAGGGTCGCCCTGGGAATGATCACCGGGCCCCTCGTGCCCGGCGTACAGGTGGAAGGAGTGGAGGACAGGGCTGGTCTGTACCAACTCCAGCACCACCCGATGGGGATTTTGAGAAAGTGTCATAGGGTCACGTGTTCTGTCCCTTGCTTCCATCTCTGCAAGTGAAGCACAGCGGGGGAAAGGACTTGGTGATTGCAGTTTTGCTGTTTTTACTCTCCTTGATGAGTATTCACTGTTTGCCAGGGTACAAATTACTTTTACAAAAATGGGAACATTTGATTTTCACAAGACGTTGCAGAGGTAACCAGAGCGAGTGCCGATAGCCCCTTTCTGAGCCTCGGAGAGGGGCCCAGAGTCACACAGCCTCGTGAGAGGTGGCGTAGGCCTTGAACGGGTCCTCGGCTCCACAGTCGGCCTGTGTCCTCCCAGTGCTTACAAGTGGCTGATGGCCGGACATCAGGGTTGTGTGACTGAAAGAGCAGAAAGGGTCCAGGGAGAATGTTTCAGAGCCTCATGGGCATCAGTGTTTGGAACCTCAAGACGCTTGTAAGTACATAGTCTGTCACAAAACACTTCAGTTGCATTTTTCAGGATAAGTGGCTTACACGTTATTTGAATTTTCAAGAAACTCTTTTTGAGGCTAAAACTGAACACATGGTGGGGAAAAGTGTTTTGTTTTTAAAAACAACAGCAACACACCTTCATTTAAGGTAACTAAAAAAGTAGTAGGCTGTTCTCGTTTTCTGTGGTCAAATCAGCCGCTTTAATAAGACTCTGCCAATGGGTAACTTGCGTTTCCACAGTTAGAGAGGCTCATGGGGTGATTCTCAATACCTTTTCCTGTGTCATGTTGCTTGGTAAATAAAATCAGTGTCTTCAAGAGGTCGCTAGCAAAGTTGAGACATTTTCAAACTCCACAGGGAACTTGGAGAGCTGGTCATCATCTTCATAGCTTTGTAGTAACTATAAAATTCTCTGCCCAGTGACAGCACTGTCCAACAGAAATATAACATGAGCCACACATGCCGTATCTATAAAGACTGTATTTATTTATTTTTAGAAAGAGGGGAATAGAGGGAGAGAAGCATCGATGAGTGAGGGAAACTAATCGGTTGCCTCTTGCACATCCTCAACCAGATACCTGGCCCGCAGCCCAGGGATGTGTCCTGACCGGGAATCAAACTGGAAACCTTTTGGTCTACATGACAACTCTCAACCCACTGAGCCACACCAGTCAGAGCCACACAAGCAATTTTAAATTTTCTGTAACCATGGTAAAAAAAAGAAATGGGAAATTAATTTTAATGTTTCATTTAACCCCATATATTTAAAATGTAATTATTTTAACATAATATAAAACATTATTAATGATGAGTACATTCCTTTTTTACCCTAAGTCTTTGAAATCTAATCTCAATTCCAATTAGGTGCATTTCAAGGCACAGTAGTCACATGTGGCTCATGGTTGCCATTGTGGCCCAGCACAGCTCTGAAATGTGGGTCACACCAACCTCTGTTTTGGAGTCCCCCAATTTTTTAGCCTATTTATCTATAATGTTGTCCAAATAAATAATGTACCTCTGGGGCCTCTCTGCCCCCTTTTTCTTTCCAGGGGTACTTTCATTGAGTTCCGAAATGGAACGTTAAATGTGTCTCCTATTAGAAGAAGCTGTAGCCAGGAAGAACGCATTGAATTCTATGAACTCGATAAAGTGAGTTTTTCTGAAGTATCCTGGGTTTGTGAAGATAAGAGGTGCTACATTGTGGCCATAGTTAAAGTGTGCAGTGCAATAGACAATCGGTATCTTTTTGTTTTTCTCAGAAAGAAAATATAAGACAAAAATTTGTAGCAGATCTGCGGAAAGAGTTTGCAGGAAAAGGCCTCACGTTTTCCATAGGTATTGTATATTCAAATGGATTTCAGGCTTTGACAGCAGTTTGTGGTGGGCTGGTGGGTGCTTGAAATTGGATTGTGTCCAGTTTTAAGGTGGGCAGGAGGATTTAAAGAGAAGTCATAATTAGGGAAGACCACTGTCTATAATAGTACGTGGTAGAGACTTGCACACATAGGGAATGACTTCTGGGCTGCTGGGCCTGGATCTGAGTTCTTACCCAGCAGGAGTCTTCTTCCCTATATTTTTCCTCCTGGTCAAAATAAGAGCGTCTTGCTTAATGCCAAGTAAGAACTTACCCTCACACCCTTGGGCAAAAGACAGGACCATTAGTGAACTCCATAACAGAGAGACAGGATGTGAGCCTCCTAGATAAATTAGACTGAATATATTCTGGAATCACATACTGTTTGGAAAAGGCAAGGAACCTTAGAAGCCAGCTCACTTGGTTCCACAGATCAAGAAACTGAGGCCCAGAAAGGAACAAGGGACTTGTCTAGACTCACCAGCCTTCCATTAACTACGACAGACCAGCACACGAACTTTTCTGGTGGCTGATACAGATTTCTTCCCTCAACGCTGCTGTCTCAGGCTTGTCTTGTGGTAGAATATGCCTGTCAAATGCTTTAAGCAAGCTGCTTTCTCCTGTCAGTGTCTGTGAGTCATTACCTGAAGCCCTTTCACTTCACGAGCTCTAATAAATGCGCGGTCGTGGGGCAAGGGAAACGCACGAGGATTCTGTATAATAGATGAATGGGTGGGTTTTTAAGTATTCTTGAACTGTGAGATGAACGTCTTTCTGACAAAGCTGTGAAAGGGTTTCTGTTGCCTGTGAAAGCTGCCTGTAAATCACCTCCCGTGTGATTTTCATCTTCCCTGCAAGGCGAGCTGGGAGCAGCCCGCGTCCAGGCACCACCCACTGAGAGCCTGGAAGCAGAGCTGAGTCTTAGCAGATCTGCCCCAGCCCCGCCCAGCTTTGTTCCCACCCACTGGCGTGATGGAGAACCTAAATGCACACCGCGTGCGTACATCCCTCGTTCTGAGCTGATACTCCAGCCCTCATTTTTAGATTTCAGATGAAATCATAATGTTGGAAAAACACATAAGGTGGAATGAACATCCCTAAAGTAGCGTAAGTAGCAAACCAGAGTATTAAAAATCAACCGTGGCAATCCAGTTGCTTATGAAAGTAAATGGCACATTTTTCCAGGGATGTGTCATTAGCCTCCTTTTCACCTTTAGCTTTTGCGTTTTCTCTCCCCACTTGGCAGGAGGCCAGATCAGCTTTGATGTCTTTCCTGATGGATGGGACAAGAGGTACTGCCTGGGACACGTGGAAAAAGACGGTTATGAGACCATTTATTTCTTTGGAGACAAAACCTTGCCAGTGAGTATGAAAGTGTTTTTTGCAGTTTCCTTGTTCGGTTTGGGCTCGAAGCGGGGAAACGGACAAAGGGGCTTCCTTCCTATTCCGCACGCCTTACCCGCTGGCCCAGCTCAAACAGGATGCTTCTGTCCTAGCAGGTGATTAAGGACCCCCCTCCTTCAGACACCTGACACTTGAGTGGAGGCGAGAATTGAGCCTTCTGGGTTTGGCTTTTGAATTAAATATTGCCCCCCTCAAGCCCTTCCAGGACACCTGACCCAAGGCGGTTTCAGATCCTCTCCGCACTTGGAGCCCTTACCCTTACTCTTTTTCTGCAGTGTTCTATTTCCCAGGGGCGTTCATTCAGGCGGGGCACTAGCAGTGCTAAAGGCCAGGAGGACGAGGAGTCTGGAATTCAGGAGCAGGCACTGGGGACACTTAGGAGGTGAGGGGTCAGTCCTGGGCATCACGCAGAGGGGACAGGAGCTGTCCCAGCAGGTGTCACAAATCCCCAGTCCGGGACTGATTCCAGACTGGAACTGAGCAGAGCCTGGAGTCCAAGGCCAGCGCCAGCAGGAGGGATCCCTAGGAGGAACTTCCCCAGAGCCAGCCTGGCAGCAGAGCGAGGCTCTCCCTAGGACAGGCGGGTCCCCAAGGAGGCCGCCCTCGTGAGGCCCAAGGAGAGGCTCAGCACCAGGTGTTGACGGCCTCACCTCAGCTCAGCGGCTCCCTTCAAATTCCTCCCGCCCCCTGTGCCCTTTTGCTTTTCTTGCCACCAGGCACCCTGGGTTGTACCGTGCCCAGCAGATGCATCAAAATGCTGCCTGCAGAGAGTTTTTATCCCTTCATTCTCTGGTCCGCGCCACAATACCTGCTGCTAAGGTCTATCCTGTGTCATTAGACCTGCCTAATGGGTGGCCCTGCCTTTCAGCATGAAAGGGACTTCTGGATATATAGTTGTGTGTCCTCCCTTCAAAATCACGTAACTAGAGTTCAGAAAGGGTGACTTGCCCAAGGTCACACAAGCTAATGAAAGAGCTGGTGGCACCAGAACAGACTACCTGCTGTTTAAGTGAGCACACTCTCCAGTCCACAAACCCTCTCCAGCGGGTGGGAAAGAGTCTAATTCCCAAGTGAACATGCTGCTTGTCAAGCCTTATGAGTGGGCCTTTTTCTTAATGACAGAGAGAAGTGGTTGATAATTCCATCCTTCCATTGCAGTGCTCTGGAGTTCAGGCTTTGAAAAACTTGATGTCTTTAGGAAAAGTACGCTAATGAAATGAATCACACTCAAGATGTAAGGAATGGCCAGAAGCTTCTTCAGTCCTTCCGAATTGGTGCCATTTCATACAGGCTAAAAAGGGAGCTATCAGACAGGCTAAAACAGTTTCCTGTACAGATGATGTTTTTCCTGTGTGTAAATAGCCATCTGAAGCCTCAGGAGGGGCTCTACACAATGGAGCGTAGTTTTTTGGTTTTGTTTTTTAGATTTTATTTATTTTTCGAGAGAGAGGAAGAGAGGGAGGAAGAGAGGGAGAGAACCATTCATGTGGGAAACCTCAATCAGTTGCCTCTTGTACATGCCCCGGCTGCGGACCGAACCCACAACCCAGGCATGTGCCCAGCCGGGAATCGAACAGGCGCCCTTGCGCTTTGAGCCGGCACCCAACCAACTGAGCCGTACAGGTCGGGGCGGAGTGTAGTTCTTGAGAGAATCAGGAAATGACTTCTTTTGGGAATTTACTTTTTATTCTGTTTAACCACTACATTACCACACATCAATTCTGTTTTTCTAAATCTTACCTGCTTTTAAAACATGGATACTGTTCAGGGGAAGATCTCCCACCCCACTCTTAAGGAATATGCTTTTATTGGAGGAAATCAGAAGGAGCACGGACAGGAAAGTGTAAGTCACTTGTAGTCACACCCGATTTGCGCCCCAGGCATTTCTCTCTGCACAGCGATGATCCCAGACGGGGGACCCCTGCATGTTCATTGTCTTATTTGCTGCCTTTATTCTCTTAACATATTTTATTTCCCCCACGTTAGTGAGTCTTCTTTGAAAACAAGATGGAATGGCTGCGTAACAGTTTATCATTTAGGCAGAGTTCATTTACCCCCTTCCCTAGTAGAGGTACATGTGGATTGTGCTGTTTTGCTGTTGTAACTAACACTGATCCACATTCTCGCATCATTCTTTGCCCTCATCTCTGATCCTTCTTGTCAGTGGTTTCCTGGAAGTGGGAGTGACCCTTTGAACAACATATTGATTCTTGAAACTTTAGGCACAGAGCGGTTCAAATACTGACTTTCAACTTTTCTTCATATTCGGGGGTAGACGTTTTGAAAGCTGTTCTCTCTCTGCGTGTCAAGGCAAATGTTTTTGGTGGCTTCCAGGGAACTGGCACCTGAGCTAAGAGCTGTCAGTCAGAAGCCATTTCCCTGCCCAGCACTCCAGGCTCAGAGGCCTGCCTGACCGCCTCCTCTCTCCTGGCACACAGCCTCTGTCTGACAGGATCGGATGTTACTCAGAGGGTGCCGCCGGCTTTGAGCGCCTCCAGAGAGCAAAGAAGAGCTTTTCTAAATACTAGTCAGCCCTGGCATCCCCCTCCTTCTCCCCGTCAGACACAAGAACCAGGGTCTGTTAAAACCCTGCTCTGAATTCAGCTTCGAGGCGGGGACTTGGTTTGCTGCGGGGGAGGTGGCCAGGGCCCAGAAAGACATGCCCCCAAGTGCTCTGCCTGGCTTTCCAGGGGCTGCACCAGCCCATTACCCCAGCCTTTCTGAACTCCCTGGTAAGAAAACTTCTGCTTGTCAAATGGTTTTTGTAAAAAAAACATCTTGGCTTTAAGGCAATGGCTTCGTGAAAACATTCTAATAACTGTTGACTCTTAACTTGGTTCCCTCGGTCTCCAACATCGGGATACTCAGGGTTCACATCTACAACAGTGCATGCAGAGCTGGGGCGGTGTAGGGACCGGACCCTTTCCTCAGCCCCCCTCCCCTGGTATGAACACTGCAGACACTGCCTGTGGCTTCATCCCCAGGCCTCGGCCTGGTGGGGATTGAACTATCCGTGGGAGTTTGCACTGAGCTGTCGCCTCGCCTTTGGACCCATCACATACACTCTAACAAGCCTATGATCAGTTAGCTATTCATCCCTTTGCCCCTTACTCCCTTTATCTTCTCTCAGAACCAGGTTTTGCTTTGGGTCTTGGGAGCCGAGTTGCCCCAGCCAGAGTGAAGTAACCTTCGGTTCGCATGCAAATCCAGTGTTTGAAGTTTCTGGTTGTCTGAGGCCTCCTTATTCTAGAGGGCGCACTCGCACTAGCTTAGTGTTTTGGCTCTGCTCCTTCTGTCCTCCCTCTGACTGGTTTGCAAGCTCTGTGCAGCCACCTGCACAAAGGAGCAAAGGAGGAGGCCGGGTCCCCAGGCAGGAGGGAAAGGGTGGTTGCGGTTGATGGGGTTTGTGGTGCAGACGTTTCGCTGCCCCCTGAAAGCACGTGGAGCGGCAGAGCAGCCCAGGCCGGATGGCGGAAGCTTGGGTTCTCTGGCCCAGCCCACTTGGGTTGGGCGAGTTACATGGTAGCTCCCAGCCCCACCCCGGCAGGACCCTGGGAGACTCATGCCAGACTAGGCATCTGTCAGGTACACGTCTGCCCCCAAATGTGACATCCTCTCTGGGGAGGGGCAGGCGTAGCAGCTGTGAACCCTCCTTGTTTCAGAGGTCACTGTCCCCGGCCACTGGCTTCTGTCCTCACGTTGCACCCTGGCTGGCGCAGGAGCCTCCTAACTCAACTCTGCTTCGGCCTTTGGGTCCTCGTCCCCCATCCATTCTCCAGAAAGGTCCTGCTGTAGGTGAATCTCACTGCGTCCTGGGTTGCAGGTTTCGGGTGGCTTCACAGGCAGTCCCAGATGCCTACCGAGACGTTCCATACCGTCTAGGTGCTGGCCCTTCCGGCCCCGACCGAGCAGGTTCTGAGCTGAGCTGCCTTGCCCGTGGAGAGCCAGCCACATGGCTTGTCCCCTCACTTCCTTCAGGTCTCTGCCCAGAGGCCCCTCTCTTGTCACTGTGGGTTCCCTCCCCCTTATTCTTTTTCTTTCTTTTTTATTTTTTTCTTTTGAATTTTTAAAAATTGATTTGTTCCACTATTTATGCACTGATGGGCTGATTTCTTGTACGTGCCCTCACCAGAGGCTGAACCCGCAACCTTGGCGTATTGGGACGACGCTCCATCCAGCTGAGCTACCTGGCCAGGGCCCCCTTCCCCTCTGTTCTTCGCAGCTCTTTCCCATGGCCCACCGAGCTGGGAGGCGGCCCTTTTGTCATTTTGTGGTTTTCTTTGCCCCCAGTGTATCTCCAGTTGCTGAAACCATGCCGGGCGTGGAGCAGTCGCTCCACCAGGGTTGTTGGGTTAATACTAACCCCTCCCTCCTAAGTCTGTGAGTGACAGGGACTGACCGTATCCCAGACACATGATTGGTTTTTCTGGACAGTGCGGGAGTTTGGTTTTCTTTTGAGCATAGCGGTGGTGTTTACCTACCATGCCATTTCTAAGAGAAATCTGGTGTGGTGTTTTTTCTTTGTTTAATCATAGGAACTAGTAGAAGTGGTTCCACATTTACTTGCTGAAGGGGCAGACGCTGGCCATGGAACTCAGGGCCTGTGCATGAGCAGAGGACAGCAGGCTCCCGAGTCGGCCCTGGGAAAGGGCATTCATGGCTTCAAGGTCACGGCTTCCTAACGTGACTCCTCCCCCCAGCACACGTAGGGCCCCACAGCAATCCAGCCAGAAACCTTGAATTTCGCTTCCACCTGGGAAAGCCACCTGCTTGGGGCTGGGTTAGGAGAACAGTAGTAATTTCAGGTATCAGCCAACCTTTAAACGGATGTCAGGTGTTCCTACAGAATCTTTTGAGAAAAACCCCATTTTCTCAGCCGCTATTTTCACTGTATAATAAACTAGTTGATTTTTTCAAGATTACGACTTAGACTGCTAATCCAGTCTTAGGAGGAAAATATAGGAAATTCCAGAGAAGAAAAGCAGGGGCTTCCCCTACTCCCCCGCCCGCCCCCCAACAGACTCTTGGCAGGAAGCCCGACTCATTCACCTGCGACCATGGCCATGGGAAGACCGCCCCTGCCCCGGCAGCGTGCCCAGGCCCTGGCAGATCCGTGCCCTCGCACAAGTCCTGGAGGCGCAGCAGATCAAAGAATGTGTGAAAACACCAGAACGTTGGATTAGCTGCTGCTGCTGCTGACACAGGTCGCTTTCCAGGGGCCTCACCCGGATCCCATGGTCTCCTCAACGAAGCCCACAGTGCCGAGGCGAAGCTCCATTGCTCCCCGTTTCACAGGCGGGGAGTTGCCCAGAGCACGCCCCTAGTCAGTGATCGAACCACGATCTAAACCCAGGCCACCTGGCTCAGACCCTCGCCACAGAGCCAGAGCTCCTTAGTCACATGCGAATAGTGGCCTCTGTCAGCACAGAAAATTCTGAGAACAGAGCCGCTCTGGATATCTGGCCTGCCCACTGCCTGTGCCTTCTCAGAAGCCTGGGCACAGCGAAAACAAATCGATGGCTCCGGGAATTCTGTCACGTGCCGTGCTTGCTTTCTTTATAGAAAAATAAGCCTTAGAACTTCCCAAGAACATCATGAGTTCTTTCCTCAGCATAATTACATGTTCCCAGCTGAATTGCAGTTCAGGAGAAGGTGATAAACCCTTTCTCAGTGAGGACTGTCTCCTAGTTTCCAGAGGAACAAGGTAACCGAAGAAACCCTCCCTGCCCAGTGAAATGGCAGCCAGGGCTGTGGCGGCAGCAGCGGCAGCGTCTGCTTTGTGTCTTTGCAGGGTGGAAATGACCATGAGATCTTCACAGACCCGAGGACCGTGGGCTACACTGTGACGGCGCCCGAGGACACACGCAGGATCTGTGAAGAGCTCTTCCCCTAACATCCCTTGTCCCTTCCGTGGGAGGGGAGGGAGGCGCAGCTCACAAGCCTGAAAGGGTCATTTCGTGGCCAGATGCCGATCTCTCCCTCGCGTGCCCCCAGGGCACTTGCAACCATCCAACCCAGGACAGAAATGTTAAAGCACTTCCTGAAATGAAGCACCTGCTGAGTGTCGGCTTGGTGGCAGTTTTGAAACCAGGGGCATTGTGGCCATCAGGCAGTGTTCAGCTAAGTGACTGTGTACGCTGTGTTCCCACCTCACTTCCAGTTGGAGAGCCACAGGCCTCAGCATGGCCTGCGGACAGCTGGCTGACCAGGTGACAGCTAAGCCGAAGGAGTCTGCACCTCTGCCAGCCTGGTTCACAGCTTAGCTCATATTCACGGCACATTGAGGAGCTGCTTCTCTAGCCATCAAGATGGGAGGAAGTAGGTACCAACAGGCGCCAGAGAAAAGAGCAGGCACCCAGCCTTTCCCCAGGGGCCCCCTCTAGGCCCAGGCTTGGACAGACTCACTAGGGGTGTCACACTTCACCAAAAAAAACCTCCTACTGTGCTCACTTGGCTTCCCTGGGCCGTATTTACCTCAGGTTTCTCAGGGATGCAGGGAAAGCCTTGGTCATCAGCAGCTGAAGCTGCCCTGCTTCTCTGCAGATCTTTCAAAAAATAAGCATGTTGACCCCGGCCCTCACCCCGACTCTGACCTCAGGGCTGGGAGTAGCCGTGGCGGGGCCTAGGACGCTGGCTGCTCCTCCCAGATGTTGCAAGGTCCTCACGAAACAAAGGTGTCTCCAGGCCCTCGCCCACAACACGGTGGAAGACTGCTTTCAAAGGCAACGGTTAACACGTCACTTTCTCGCATCTGGAAGTGTCGGGACCCACCAGGCCTCCCCAGACGGCGCTGGGGCGGGCCTCTGCTGGCCCCCGGCGGCCTGAATCCACGTGCTCCGCCCCAACCTGCGTGCTCTCACCAGGTGCTTTCATCACAGAGGAACCCGGCTTCCCGCCCAAACCTGGCGCTGGGCGTGTCAGACCTGGGTCGCTCTGCCCACCCCCGGAACCGTGCGGTTGATGTTTCTGAGCGGTTCCCAGGACGTGCCGTCCACACCATCTTTCCTTGTTAAGGTATGTTGCAAGTGATACTGTCATGACCTTTCAAAATGTAGCAAATTAAAGTGATTTTATTGTTTCCTGTCTCTCATTCTGATTGCTTTTTCATGCCAACCTGTCTGCTCTTCCATCGCATGGGATACAGTCCCTACCACACAGATAGCTTCAGTAAAGCCCTTGGAATGGTGTGCACGAGCTATCGCTAACTCAGGTATCCCCCCAGGAACCCTGTAAGCAGGGCTCTTAGGCCTACTTTTCAGAGAGGGTGAGCGAAGTCATTCCCTCAGCCTTGGGAAGGGGCAGGATAAAGACACCACCACCACCAGAACTGTAAACATGGCAGCTAAGTGCTGAGCCAGAGGGAAGCACGGAGGCTGCACCCTGAGCAGCCTGGGGCGGATAGGACAGCAAGTCCCAGCCCAGCACAGCAGAAGCTGAGCGTGGACTCAAGGTCCCTCAGGCTTAAAAAGCCTCAGGGGAAAGGCCGGTGCGGAGGGCCTGCCGGGTGGCTCCTGGGGTTTGAGGCCACCGGGAAGGCCCTTCTGAACCTCATGTGGCACCTGAACCTGATCCTGAGGGAGGAACTGCAGGAGACTCAAGATCTGTCTGACATCTGAGTGGGCAGTGACAGAGGGGCCGGAAGAGTGGAGCAGACGTGGATTCAGGAAGGGCGGGGCGTAGGTGGCCTTGAATCACTTCCTTTCCAAGAACCGCTTCCTCTTCCTCTTCCCCCAAATGCCCCCTGATCTCAGCCCTGGTGGCACCTGAGCAGAGCAGCTGAGCCTTGGACCACCCTTGCACCTCTGTGCCCCCTGCCGCTCCGCCGTCACGTTCTGGAACTCATTCCACGCCCCTCACTTGCAGCTCATGTCCAGCCTCACCTGCATTTTGCTGCCTAGGCCTCCCTCATGCCACCTGAGTAATGTCCACTTGGTGTGAAACGTCCACAAACCTCATGTTTTTCAGCTAAGTGCTTACTTTGGCCTCTCCCTAAACAGGTTAGATAGGCTAGTTCTAGTTTTTCCTAATACAATTTGAAAATCAATGTATTCTTACAATAAAAATGTTCACCTCTGCACCACAAAAACTCATTCTCTACCTCCTCTGGGAAACCCCACCCCAGGACCACTTCCCAGCCTGACACACGCAGAGACCCTCCCAGAGCAGCCCTGGCTCCCGGCCCAGCCTCCTCTTCCCCCTCTGCCCTCCCGGGAACTGAGAACTTGGGCTTCCATACCCCCCGCTCCCGAACATCCTTCTGTCTGGACTGCCTTGTTCTCATGGCTCAGCCTCACACAATCAAAGTAGAAATGCACCAACAGGGAATCTAGCCACAAGGGACCAAGTAAGTGGCATTTTCTGTTATCACAAAGCCACATTCAACTCTAAGCTCTCCTACCCTGCGAATGATCATTAAGAAGAAGAGGATGCTCCCATTTTTCTTACCCATCCCCCGTAACCACCAGACTAGGAAGCGGGATGACTGAGTCAGCCTGGCCTGGGGAGACACCCTCACCTGCTGGCTTCCAGAAGCTTCCTCACAGCCAGCCTCCCCTTCTCCCCCTCCCACTTAACAAACAACACACAGCCTTGGACAAAACAAACTTTATTGAGAGGAAGGTAGCCTGCGGGAGGAAAGATCTGGATTTAGGAATCCTGAACGCTGCTCCCAGCTGGGTCGCCAACACCATACAGAAGTCCTCCCAGAGCCTCCAGGAGTCTGTATATTGAGACTCTGAGTGGGGAGGGCGCCCTCCCAGCTCTAACACCCTGCAGTTCTAGAAAACTCATCCACCAAAGGACTGCAAGAGCCATTTACAAAGGATGCCTGTCCACACAGACGTCACCTCTGAACAGCAGATCCAATTCCCAACCCACTGGCAGGCGAAGTCTGGAGGAGTCGCACAAAAGACGCCGGCTCTTGGCAGAAGTGGCTCTGCAAGTGTGCTCTCTACCCAACAGACAGGCCTTCAGGGACCACCTGGAGAACATTCAAGGCCAGCGGGGAAAAGGCCACCTTGGACACAGCCGAAGGCAGACGCAGGGGGTAGAGGACCCTGCAAGGGACATGATGGGCCAGGAAAAAGCGGATCAAGTCCCTTGGCTGGGATGTTTCACTGCACACACATCATCAACACACTTATTTGTCTGTTTTAAAACTGCACCAGCCATCGCATCACCAAAATGGTTCCAGCCTTCCCCCACCGCCCCCCGCGCCTCCCAACAAAGCAGTCCCCGGGCTGAAAGGCAAAGCTGAAGACACCTCATGAAGGCAGGTACTGCTTCCTGCATCCAAAGTCCCCTCTTTTGTCTGGAACATCCTTGTCTTTCCAAAAGCCAGCTTTGAAGGATTCACCGCCCCGTGATGACAAATGGATTCTTGACTACATATAAGCCACGTATTTCAAAACACATTACCCAGCGATTTCTATGTTGAAATCACAACTAAAGCCAAACCAAATCACAGCAAATAAAATCCTAAAGATTTGTTCACTGGGACTATCTACAAAGGTTCGCAATGTCCTCACCAAAATGTAAGCAGAGCTGGCTCTCGGTGACAGCCTCAGTTATCTACAAACAAAAACTCCTAAGCATTTGTTCACAGCTGTTTGCAAGAAAACCCCTTCGCTAAAGGCGTATTTCTCCTTCAACGTTTGACTTTACCAGGCTGTCAGAAAGCAAGCTACCTACTCTTTTCTGGAAGGGAGAAAGGTCTGTTTTTCGACAAACACCTTCCCTTCTCCACTCCCTTCTCCCGCCCCCACCCACCACCTACGCCACAGGGGATGTGAAATGGCTGCTGAGCCATAATCACGCATCTTGGGGACAAAAGGGAAAAACCCAAAGGTTAGAATTCAGCTCTCAGCATGGCATTCCCAGGCGGAGGGCTAAGGGCTCTTGGAAAAACTTTTCCCGACACTCAGCTGTGACACCTCCTGACACAAAGGCACCTAAGACCCTACTCCCACCCCTCTCCCCCCACCCCCTGAAGCCAGCTCGCCTGGAGCCACCCAAGCCTAGAATCGAAAAAGCCTGCTCTGCCCAGGGCCAAGGAGACACAAGAAGAGGGCACCTGGGTGGGAAGTCACGCTGGGGAAACACACAGGGTCCATGTCACCAGCCAGCGGAATTTGGAGCCTCCATCCCCAGCGGGCTGGGGGTGAGGGACTCTGGGCTGGAGCAATACCACCCGACCCACCCCCGGGCGAGGGCTGGACCCTCTACTCAGCCACCAGCCGGCGCCTCTCCTTGTTCAATGCTTTTAATACTTTTCAGATGGTGAAGCTGTTGTGACGGTCAGAGACTGTGCCGGTGGCCGAGACACCCCTGTGCCTGCCCCACACCCCTTCCTCTAGGAGACGCTTGAAAGGGAACATGCTCCCCCACTTTGAGGCGTATCTGGGGCAGTAGAATGTCATGTCCGGTCTGGTCCTGCCTCCTTCTCCCCACAGAGTCTCCCTCAAGCCCAGAAGGAGGGGTGCTTCTGGCCTCTCCTAGGAGCTGATGACGTGGCCGGACCAGGTCTCGTGCTTGGTGCCCGGCGCCAGGTGGGTGATGACCACCTCCACGGCCTGCAGCTTCTCGTGCTTGGGTGGGATGGAGCACATCTTATAGGTGACCTCGTCACCTTCCACCGGGACGTACTCCCCTTCCACACTGCGGGGGAGGGGGAGAAAAGCACTCAGTGCCCAGCACTCAGAAAAGCCCTGGCCAGAGGGCACCCCGTTTCCGAGGAATGCCCTCCTGCCCTGCCATCGCAGGGAGCAGCCACGCTGCCGAGGCGCCACGCGGCCTCAGCCTCCGACCGCGGCCGAGGAGCGCCCGCCCCATCAGCGGTTTCCCTGGGACCTCTGGTGCTGAGACAGTCAGAGAGAGCTCCGCCGCCCGGGGTTGCCCACGCTTCGTCTTAAGCGTGGGTGCCGCGGGCCTTGTGGACGGAAGAGCAGGCGGAGCCGGTCTGAGCCAGAGACAGAAACCAGGCGGTCGCACGGGAGGTGAGGGATGACGTGGCGCAGGTTTCCTGAGCAGCTGCCGCTCTCCGCCCTGGGCCGGGGCTCCAGAAAACAGGACGCACCCCTGCTCTTCATTCCCCAGAAACCTGGTCAGCCTCCAGCAGAGACCCTTTTGTAAAAGCTCAAAGCTAGTGCCCGGAAGGGCCCTCTCCCTTGGGACCACCGCCAGAAAATTCCCCTACTTTCTGCGTGATGTGAGTCACCACCCCCACCCCATGACAGCGAGGTACCCTTCTTAACACCCCCCTGACGAGACCCCACAGATCCCCTTCCGGCGCTGAACACCAGGGCCTGCCGGCTCCCCCAGAACTGGTTTGCCTTGACTGAGGGATCACATAGCAAATGGAGCTTCCCGCTTGACTCGACCACCGACAGGCTCGGCCACCTCCAGCAGCGGAACTGGGCATCACACATCTCCGTCTTTCTTATTGGCCCTCCCACCCCCATGCTTCCTTGCCGACTTTTTTTTCATGGTATATCTTTGTGAACTACTACAAATCCTTTCTAGAAAGAGAAAATACACATCCACGTATGTACTCACACGAAATGCGTTGCTTTAGCATCTTAGCTCTATCCTAAAGACCTGATGTGTAAGAATGGGGTGGGGGGGATAATTCTCCCATCATGGCAGACATTTGCAATAGACCCATGTTCCAAAAACATGGTTTCTATATACAGGGTGGGGTAAAAGCCGGTTTACAGTTGTTCATATGGAGAATAATACAATAATTAATAATACAAGAATAAACTCTTCTTCCCATACTCACAACTGTAAACCTACTTTTGCTCCTGTCTGTACTGCCAGGACTGTCCCTCCAATGGAAATGAAAACTCAGGGGATGCTGAGGCCAAAGGAGCGCACAGGCGCAGGGGCACCCGATCAGGCCGCCTCCGATCTGCGGGCACCTGAACACCAGAAGTGAAACACAGGCTGCAGGGCGCCGGGGCCTACACTGCGTGGGCCCCCACCCCGGCCCTCCCAGGGTCCAGATACTCAGGAAGGAAGGACGTCAGTGAGCGAGTGGCTGGAGGAAGGTCCAAACTGCCTGGATCAGTAGAGCCGGGAAGCCCCCACCCGCATCAGGCCGCTTCGCCAGGCAGGGCAGGAAACCTCCCAGAGGGCAAACTCAGATTCCCCAGCTCACAGGGGCGTTCCCTCCCCACCCACATGGCTGCTCAGCGCCACCCCAATGGTTCCCAACTCACACATCACTCACACACACACACACACACACAGGCACACTGTCGCCTGCAGCATCAGACACACCAGCACTACCAAGTGCAGTCTCACAACCCCAGCTCTGAACGCAGTCACCCCAGGTCACACACGCCTGGCCTCACACCCTCATACCCAGCACGGATCGGAGTCACACACTCTCTCTGCCACTGAGCAACCAGACAGTGCCCACCCCAACCCCTGACCCCACAGACCAGCCACTGACTCACTCGGAGATGTGCAAGAAGATATCGGGGCCGCCGTCTGCCGGGGTGATGAAGCCGTGGCCCTTAGATCGACAGAAGCATTTGCAGACTCCTTTGTAGACCGGACCCTGCGAGGCCCTCACCGTCCTGATAGAGGGGACAAAGTGTGAGAGGCCCCACCTGCCCTCCAGGACAGCCACCCACTCTCGGGGGGCACGCCCCGCTCATCCAAGCCTCTGCCCACAGCTGTGCCCGGGGGTCCTGGCCACGGCCCCCACGTACAGCCGTGCAGGGCGTGCGCCGCACAACTCTGGGAGCCATCCACACAGAACCCGGTAACAGTGACCCTAGGATGACCTTGGCCAATCTTCTCAGGACTCAGTTTCCCCATTGGAAAAGAGGGTATTAGACTAAGAGCTCTCTGAGCATCCCTCCAACAGCCAGTTACTACTAAGAGCAGCAGCCTGCGTTCTTTGGGCCTGCGGACTGCATCTGCCAGGCACCGCGTGGGGCCTTGGCAGCACTGTGCGACCCTGCCGCTGCCCCCTGAGGAAGCTGAGGTCTCACAACAAAAAAAGGCTTGTGTGCATTAAAGGTCAATGATTTAAGACCTCAGCGATTTCCCACCTGGGGTGACCTCCCTCCTCCACCCCCAGCTCGTGACAGGCTCCGCTGGGCCTCGGCAGTGCCCTCCGGAGTTCACAAGGCACCTTCCCAGTTTCTCACGCTTTCCCCAACCACAAGTCTGCCCATCTGGCAAACAGGGACACTGAGGCACAGAGATGGCCAGTCTGTGGAAGCCTCCCCCAGCCCGCCCGAGACTCACGCATAGTAGGTCCTCGTTTGGTAGTGGACAGTGGGCTAGGGACTCAAGTCTATCTTTAGCCAAAGAGCCAGTTGCTTCCTCCAGGGAGGAGAGCCTTGGCCATAAAGCTATCAGTCATTTACACTTTAGCGAGAGGAAGCTTGCAGTTCATTTCACAAGGCTCCATTCTTGGTAGCTCTCAGACCCTTAAGGGCATAAAGACAGGAGAATGAGAGCTGGGTTCAAGTCGGGAGCTTCATTCTCAGTCAGCATGGCGCTCATCAGAGCCAAACCTCTCCAAGCCTACGTTTTGTTCTAAGCTCCCAGTTCTGAAAAGTGGGAGTGTCTTGAGCCTTCTGTGGGTGCCTCGCTAGGGAAGGCCCGGGCTGGGCATCAAGTCCAGACACCTTCCAGCCCCCGGGCAAAGCCACTGCTGGCAGGCAAGGATGCGTACTAGCCCACACAATGGAAGGAGAGAGGTTATTAGAGAACTATGGGGGGCAGGGTCAATGAGGGTGTGATGGCCACTGTCCACCGACTTCTGTGTCAGGGTCTGAGCCTGCATTTACATACATTAACTGTAACCCCCCCCCCCCCCCCTGTGGCAGAAACACTCCCCCCCGAGAGGGGGGCCCCGAACCCCCCACCACCCGGGAGCCCCGCCCCCCCCCCCCCCCCCCCGGGCCCCCCCCGCTGGTAACTACAAGCTGACTATGCACCCCCAGCACCGCCACTGCAAACACCCAGGTATTCCATCCTTGCCCCCCGGGCCCTGGCAGCAGACCTGAGTTTCAGGCCCGACTCTGCTCTTCACTCCCTCTGTGACCCCGACAAGTCGCCTCACTGCCCCTCACCTCAGCTTCCTCATCTGTTAAATGGGACAGTAACAGTGGCGGCCTCCCAGGCCCACGGGCTCTGTCCAGACCTGACGGTGCCAACAACAATGGGCTGGGTCAGCAGTGGTTGTGCCGCTCATCCTGGAACTCTCAGGCACGGGGCCTTCCAGAATGACTGCTCCCATTCCTGTCCCTGCCTATGGGACACACACCAAACACCCTGACTTTGCCATTCAGCAGGACAAAGAAAAACCGGTCCCCTCCCAAGGGAACCTACCCTCAACCCCATGCCAAAACCCCAGGGCCCAACCTGGGCCCAGATCAGCTCGCTAGGACCCCAGCTCTTATGCTGCCCTGGTTCCATGACGTCATCTTGCCCTGAAGGGGTTCCTGGGCCAGCAGGGGGTGGGACGAGGACAGACAGAACAGCACTGAGAACCGGAGGTCATCAAGGACCCCAGGGAGCAGGGCAGCAGCAGAGCTGGGGAGGCCTCGGGCCTGGAGGAGGGGCAGGATCACTTTGGGAGCCAGGAAGTCATTCCCGGGAGCCAGGAAGTCATTCCCGACAGAGGGCCCTGCAGGGGCCAAGGCCCCGGGGGAGGGGTACAGGCCACAGACAGAAGTGGGAAAGATCCAAGCGGAAGACAACAGAAAGCTCTGTTGAGAAGTTTGGCACTTAAACGGCATCGGGGATATCAGCGGATGATTTGAAGTCTGGGCTAGATTTGAGATGGTTGTTTTTACAAGTTACCCCTGGCCAACAGATTGAAGGGGCAGGACTGGGAGCTAAGAGACTGAGAAATATCAACATAGCAAGTAAAGAATGTAACAGTCACTAACCTTTCTCCTGGCGCGGGGTTAACCATCTCCTTTATTCTCACACATCGCATTACAGTAGGAAAAGTTATGTCCCCAACTGAGAAGTTCAAATAGGTAGTTACAGAACAGCCATAGGGCTGTACAGTGTAGGAAATGGAGTAGCCAAGAACTTACATGCATGACCCATAGACATGAACAACGGTGTGGGGACTGCCTGAGGGAGTGGGGGGTGCTGGAGGGAGGGGGGATAAAGGGCAAAAAATTGGCACTACTGTAATAGCATAATCAATAAAAATATAAATTCAAAAAAAGTTTTTTAAAGCAGAGCTATAACAGAAAAAAAAAAAGTGATATTTCCCAATCTATGGAAGGGGAAACTGAGGCTCCGAGAGGTCTCCCAGTTTGTGGTCTCCCAGTTTGTGGCCTCCCAGTTTGCAATGAGACACCACTGCCTAGGGAAACGGAGGGCCTGCAAGAGCAGGCTGATGTATGCTCCCAGAACAGAGAGTAGGCTGAGAAGCCCCAAATCCTCACCAGGCACAGCGGAGAGATGGGGAAGCAGAAGTTACCAGTGGAGAGGTACTCTGCATATCAAGAACAGCTGGACAGTGTTATGGCTATCCTAAGTAGCAGTGCCTCATTGTCCTGGATCCAGGGAGATTGGTAGACTCCTGATGTAGCTCATTGCAGGAGATGTGGAGAGTGCTTACTGTACCTGGGTGAGAGCTTTCAGGTCTGATGTAAAGGAAGGTGGGCATGACTTTCAGGATTTAAAAGAATAGGCATGCAACCATTTTTGTTCTCTCTGCCACACGGCTTAGAAGAAAAGCAGGATGTAGCAGCTCTGCGGAACTCTCTGGCCATGCGGCTTGGGAAGGAACAACACTCCTGGCCATGTGGGGAGTAATAGCAAGGGAAGAGACCGGCTGTCTGTAGTAAGGGATTTGATAGCGAGGAGGGAGAAGTAAACATGGCTGCTGACTCAAGCTGCAGCACACTTCCTTGCAAGATCCTTTCCTCCTGCACCTGGATTTTACCTGGACTTAAAGACCTATGCCTTTTCCTGAATTTCACCATGATACAGAGTAACACGGGCACATGCTATTCTGGACTATCATGGAGGCTGATGAACACATATCCCAGATTCTGAAGGAGAATGCTACTATTGCATGAGGATGGCAACTTTGGTACCTTCCAGAGAGACTGGAGACCTGTTTGCGCAGCTAGCTTAAGAACATGGGAAACTTTCAGGAATGTTTTTGGCTAGTATCCTGGTGGGAAGCATGGGAAGTGTTGGGTCTCCTGGGAAAGGAGGACTCTGAGCTGAGGTGCTCTGAGCCCTCTCCCCCTCCCCCAAGGTTGGACAGCTGTAAATAAAGACCTGCTCCTCCCAGCGTTAATTGTTGGATCGTTCACCAAGCCGCTTTGTAGACGGCGGGTCTGCTCACTTACAGTTTTGTCGACCTTGATAACACCAATACACACATCCAGTCTAATCCCAAAAATGCGGTGGGGGTCAGGGACTCCCATTTCAGAAAATGAAAAAGAACAGTTCAGTTCCGGCCTGCAAATGTACTGCCAGCGAAGCCAGGGGGGAGGGAGGTTGCGGACCCGGGTGAAGTTTTCGGCGAGCGCTATACGACGCTCCCTCCCCACAGGCCGCCAACCACTCGGTGCCAGGGCGACTTCCACACCGCCCCCACCAGGGCCTGGACGAGGTCCCGCCACCGAACCCACAGCTGAGCGGCCGGCTCCACGCCCGGAGCGGCGCTCCCCGCCCCGCGTCTCGCCCCATCACAACAAAAGTCACCCACCCCATCCACGCTCCAGCGCACGGACGAGAGTGACGGGAGGCTTCCCTGCACGCAGAAAACAGATGGCCGGGCGGGAAGTGCTACCGACGACGGTTCCCAATCTCTACAGCTGCTGCCACACCCACCCTCCCCCTAGGGATGAGTAACTCGCTCTCCCCAAACAAGCCTCCGCGACCTGGATGTTTCCAGGGGCCTAGAGTCCCAGCCCGGAGCGTGAAGGCGCCAGATGGAAGACCCGACTCTGCATCAGCAGATTAACCGGAGGCAACAGTGCAGAGAACGCCGAAGTCCCAACCCGCCCGCTTCCCTCCGATCGGAAATATCCCGCCACATCCCTCCTACGATCCCCAGAGAGGATCCCTATCCCGGGATCCGCTCCTTTCCGCCAGCTCTCGGCTTCCGACCGCGGTAGTTTAGGAAGGGAGGGGGCGCGGTCCGCGGGGCGGGCCGGCCGAGGACCCGCCCCGAGGAGCTTCCAGCCAATAGAGCCCGAGTAGGAGCCCCGGGCGGCGGCAACCGGACGGGCGGGGCGGCTCCGACGGACCTTTGTGTCCGCGCGCGCAGGACCGGAGGGCCGGCGGGAGCGCGGAACGCAGGGCCCCTACCTCCGAGCGGCGGCGGGGGGCAGTGCCCGCCTGCGCAGCACGCGCGGTCAGGGAGCTTCCCTGAAAAGCAGGAGAATCCCGTCTTCGCGCCTGTGCAGGTTCTTCCCCTACCACACCGGGTCGGTCGGTCCCCCGCCTGCCGTTCGCTCCAGAATCCGATGGGTCGGGGGCGCTCTCGGACAGAGATCAGGGAACGACCGGGAGGAATGAAGAGAGGGCGGAGGGGAAACAAGCAAAGAAGAGAAGGGAGGACAGCAGGGGCGGAAAGGAAAACAAGGAGGAACTGCAAGACTGAAACGCGAGAAAGCCGTCGATTTGTTTTCTTTTACAGTTGTTTTTGTTTCATTTTATTCCTAATTTGCACTCCCGCCTTGGCCCCTCTGTCTCTGGAGGTAAATGACGTTACCTTCATTTTACAGGAGTGGAAGCTGAAGCGCGGAGAGGCGACCCCCCCCCCCCCACTCCCCCGACACACGCAGTCAGCCCTGGGCCCAGACCCGGATTGGTGAGTGAAGGGCAGGGAAGTGGGGAGGTATCCTGTAAGCGTCCTGGGACCCCGGGCCCAGGAGTGGGAGTGGCACCCGGGTCCCTGCCTGCCACTCATCCTCTCCCCCTCGTGCCACCTCAGGAGCACACTGTCCATTGAAGACAACGTGAGAAGACAGCTGTCTGCAAGCTGGCCAGCACCTTGATCTAGGACTTCCGAGCCTCCAGAACTGAGCGCGATACATGTCTGTTGTTTGAGCTGCAGTTTGTTGTAGTTCGTCATGGCGGTCGGAAGAAGCTAAGGCTGCGCCTTTTTCTTCTTTCTCAACTAATTGAAGCCTCTTAGAATTTCACACTAGTTTGGTGCCATTGCGGTTTGTGATGATCACTCGCTGGGTGTATTGTCCATGCCAGGCTCCGTTTTGGGCAGGCACTGAGCCCCCAGAAACAAAACGTGGTCGCCCAGTCTCCTCCTGCAAGGGAGTTGCAGACAGGTCGGTGACCCAGGACCAGGGTGTCTCGTGGTAGGCTGGATTCGCCGGCATTGCTCAGTGAGTGTCCCATCCTCAGGCCGCCAGACGAGTCTGCTCTCAGGGAGGAGTTCTCTCCCAAAGTGCCATGGCTTAGCCTCCTGCAGCCAGTGCCATCAGTTCACCATGCTGGCCCCTTCTGATAGCCCTAGCCCAGTGGCAAGATTTTCAGCCAACACGTAATGAAGAATCTGGCCTCAGCTCTCTGCCCGATAAGGACCAGCCAGCCAGCCAACCAGCCACCTGACAAATGTTTGTTGCCCATGAGCTCTGTTCCAAGCCCTGGGCTAAACAAAACTCACGTTGGCCCTGTGCCTTGGAGTATTACACTCTTAGGGGAGGCAGACGTGAAGTCGGTGGCCACACAACGGCATAAAAGCCCACTGCACCCACAGCAGGAACAATCACTGTGCTGGGGGAGTCAGGAGAGGCTTCTCTGGAAAGTGCTAATTGACCTGAGGTCTTCCAGAAGGTCAGGAATTAATCAAAGGAAAGGACATTCTCAAGAGAGGTTACACAGAGCATGTACAAAGGTCCTGAGGTGAGAGGGCACGTGGAATGAGATCCAGTTACCAGAAAGGGCTAAATGTATGGGTCTCAATTAGGAAGCTTCATCTTTAAGAGCGATGGCAGCCAGGCCCTGGCCGGTGCGCCAGTTGGTTAGAGCATCATCCCATACACCAAGAGTTTGCGGGCTCGATTCCCATTCAGGGCACATGCCTAGGTTGCAGATTCAATCCCTGGTCGGGGCACAAATGAGGCAACTGATCGGTGTTTTTCACATCGATGTTCTCTCTCTAAAATCAGTAAAAAAAACATATAAACACATTCTGGGGTGGGGGTTAAAAAAAAAAGTGATCCAGGGAAGGGCTTAAAGCAGAATGTAATGGAGACTCTTCCCTTCAAGTGTAACTCCTATCTACCTCCTGTCCCTATTTCTTCTCACTGTGACTTGGCTTCCACCCTCTCACCAGGAACAGCAGCCTCCACCCATCCTTCTGCCTCCCGCTAGTTTCATGCCCACGCTCCAATTTTCTATGCAGCAGCCAGAATGATCTTCCAAAATACAACCATTTTTAAAGAAGAAATTACTTGTGACACTTGTTAAAG